AAGATTTGAGGAGTGAGATTTTGAATAGAAAGAGGAGAAATTGTAACTTCTTTTTATTTTTCAGCCTAATTGAAGTCACATTTGAGAGTCCCTCATTCATTACCACCACTCACACTCTGACTTACACTGGCCTCCACAGTCCCGTAGGTCAATCTTTCCTAATTCAAATCAATTATCCCATTTCCTCTCAGTGAAAGACTGTTTCTCATGCAGCATCATGTACCTGCTGTTTTGTCAGGACTGTGTCGTGAGCTCCACTCCACACTCTGCCTTTACGCTCTTGTCAGGGTGACTGAATGCCAGCTTTCAAATACTGCCTCATGGCTGAGACTCAATATTACAGACTTTACTTACTCTCCAGAGGCTGGATGTTCAGGATGGGATTGTGTTTTTTTTCCCTTAAAGTTTGTAAAAAGCTTTTCTGATATAGTAAGGTATGAAAACTACAACTTCTATAGCTTGACAGTGAAAACAAATATGAAATTCCTTCTAATGCTGCAAGAACTTAAACTGTGACAACACTATATCCTATTTTTTATAGGTTTACATGGGATCAAAAAAGCTGCTGAAACCTTTAAACTTTTGTTGCAGTTTTGGAATTTGAAAAATAAAACGTTACCTGCAGTTGGGTAAAATGTCCACTAGATGGAGTAGTGTATCATTACATCATTCCTGCTCTAAATACAAACATAAAGATGAGGTTGATAAATTACAATGAAATTTTGCATGTTGCTGTATTTACCAAAAGTCATTCTTGGATAACCTTATGATCACTCTTTTTACAATGATATAATTAAAGTTACATCAGGGGTTCCCTTCATATTAGTATCTCTTCATACTTGTTTATTCTTTCAAGTTCTAACCTGTAAGGTGGGAGGGGTTCAGCCTTAAATGAGCCGGTGTAGTTACTGTTTACTGCAAAGAGTTCAGTGACATTTGAATTTTCAATACGTTCAATTAAAATACAATGTTTAACATATACAGTTTTAAATATTTACTCTGAAGGTGATTAAACTCATCTATTTTAGTTCACTGCAATTCACTGACAATGACAATCTCATTAAGTTATAAAGCAACTCTAAACTTGTTCTTGCAGTTTTTTTCTGAAATCTCAGTACTTTTCAAACTTTTGCCAGTGACTTGTACTCTCCCTGTGATACTCTCCCAAACTTCTTCCAGAGCATCTATTGATCTATCTGTTTGTGCACTTTAAATGGCCTGAGCGTCAAGGTGGAGTCAAAGAGGAGTCTGGATGAGAAACTCAGAAATGCTATTAAAGAAAAAAGTCATCTATAAGCATATTTAAAATGCACCTTGGTGTTAAGCATGTATGTGAATGCAGTCTTTAAACTCTAATGAAAAAGCAAAAAAGCAATTAATTGATACCACTGGGAAAAGGGGAAAAAAACATATATAGATTTTTTTATATATAAAAGGGTCATTAGTGGAATTATATAGAAGTACATCAGTGCATGATATATTAGTGTATGTTCAGCCTCAGAGACAGTCAGTGAAATCTCTGCAGGCTGCACTTGAAACATCATCATAAACAACTCTGGAAGTGAGAGTGTGTGATAGGGTGTGGGTGTGGATGGTGTTGTGTCAATAAAAGCAGGTATATTAAAGTCGTATTACATCTGTTTTAATCTTGATTATGAGTTTTAAACATGCAACAAAAGCAGCAGATTGCAGTACAGATTGTACCAGGTGAGCTCAATCAAGAGTCAAAGTACAACGTGTGTTTATCGACGGCAGTAAAAAGGGATTATTCTGGGAGAGGTGACAAGGCTATAAACAGACACTAACACACATGCTATCATAACTTTTTTTGAGACATCGACAGTCTCTTGGATACATGGCAAACATAACATTTGTGTATAACATTTGTAATTCTCAAAAATTCAAATAAAAAGAAATCAAGTTTTTAAGGTGTATGCCACTATTTCAGCTAATATTAGCTAGTAAAGGTTTCACTTTACTTCTTCCCTAACATCAGAATGTAGACAGTTCTATGTGATATTTTAAGACATTCAATCTCAACGTTTTGGGCCTAATTTTACAGAATTTTTAGTATAATTTCTCTAATTGTTCACATTGTGATGTTAGCAGGGAGTGACTGGAGGTTAGCATTAGTCACATCCATGGGAATTTTTGACAAACTAGTTTCCCTAAAACAACTTTTGATTAATCAGGTTTTGCAAACTTAACCGTCTGATGATGTTGCACAATAAGAAAGGCATGGCCAAGTGGCGAACATGACATGTTGTATCATGTTAGTACTGCATGACTCATCATTTCTAGTCAAATATAGAGTGCAGCGAAAAAAGACATGCAGCAGAGAGTCCTGGCTGCTGTATTAAAAACTGTTTGGGTTCTCAGAAATGTTCCTTTTGATTTGAGTATCTTAGCTCCTGTCCCCAGCATGACCTCGAGAAGAATAGCTGTCATGTGAATATGGTATGTTGGATTTCATCGTCTGAGAACAGATATATAACTCTGTCATTAATCATACATGTCCCTTCACAATAACTCAGATCCCATGTGTATTTTTAACCAAGCAGCAGGGAAGGACAAGGTAAGCTAATGAGTACTATAAGGGAGCTGTGCCTTCACTACCAAGTATGCTATTATCATAAAAGGTGTCATTCTCCTTCTATTACGTGTTACTTCTACCTGCCACATTCTTGAACTGCTCCTCTAATGCTGTTATATTAAATGGAAGTGGAGTCGTGAGGTGACTGAGTGTGAACAATGTTTTCAGTATTCTCTGCGTGTCCATGATCCAACAGTCCGGCTCTGAGTACACAGCTTCTCCCCTCAAGAATGCAGCTATAGTGCCCTATTGTCCAAGGACACAGGCTGAATGACAACTACTTTGGCACACTACAGGACAATACCAATGTTGTCTTTTAACTCATGCGATCTCATTTTGTGACAAATCCACAGTACCTCACTGTTACAACTAACCAGACACTCATTCGTCTCCCTCATGTTCTGTATTTTGTAAGCGTGGTTTGACTAAACACTCCAATATATGCAACACTTTTTAGCTTTTTTCTAGGCTCTTATTGTTTTAAAATTAAGAGTGAAGTTTATTATAGGAGGAATTTATGCTTATTTGCAGTCTTGCCAAAAGTTAAAGGGATATTCCGGCGTAAAATTAAGACTGCTTGCTCTGTAGTTACACCAACTTAAGTAACGACCGCACGATAGCAATACACAGCGGTCTGAGGAGCCATAAACAAACCTCAACCAAAACGCCACTCTACAGCCACAAATAATGCTCAGAACAGCACCTAACTTCATCAACTGTACATATACGGTCCCAGCCACAGCACTAGCCACCAAACATCTTTTTAACTTTGCCCAATTTCTTTAGCAAAGAGACTAAACACAACTCACCTACTCTCTTTCAGCAGCCACTTGTTTGTAGCGAGACCTTGGGCCAGTCCATTATGGGCCACAGTGGGGTGACGCAGCTCAAGGAAGAACATTTATGATAATGTCTTCCTGGAAATGCAATCAGACCGAGACACTAAGGCAGAAGAACTACCGTATCTGCAGTGCAAAATGGTTGATATGGTGATTTTTACTTCAAGGAAATGATAAAGAAATGATCGTAGATTGTTATGCCAGAATATCTCTTTAAGGCCTGGATAACAAGCTAACATAAATGATAGAAAAAGGGAGAACAGCTAACCTGGATTGAGACAACCATTACAAATCTTTTTTATGACCTGATAAAAAGTATTTCTTGATAACCTGCTGCGTCTTTGTTAAAGTTGAATATAACCTACTGCCTCCTGCTAAGCCACATAATACTCTATTTTTACTCTTTCACTTTTGAGTTTATCAATAAAACTTAAAAAATATATAGATATGTAAAAACTAAATTTCCATTTAAGTAGCCAAAGAGAGGTTTTAGAAAGGATTTCAAGCTCTGGTGTCCGGACAAACATCTGAAAAATCTGATTTAATTAAAATACCAAACAAGCACCGTGCATTAAATTCATGCCAATAGTCCTGCTTCTATATCTAATGAAAACAATTTAAATCCGGCGCGAGTTTCTTCAATACTGATTCGTCTAGTTATATGTCAATCAAACTCAGTGCTCGACTTTAAATTAGGGATCTGGGCGTGTCGTACTTACAGGAACTACAGCGTAACGCCAGGTAAGTTATGTGAACAAACCACTGTGCATGTTTTTGGTCTAAAAGGGGTGTAATAGACGTCTGAATGTAGCCTAGACGACTGGTGTGGAGGCTACCACTGGTCTAAACATGAAAGTTTTCAGACGTCTAAATTTAGTTCAGACGTTAGTTTAGAGTTGCCAGCTAACAGAGGTCTACCTGGATATTGCTCAACGGCTATCATAATTATTTTGGTTAGGTACGTGGAGGTCAGTTATGCAACTCACAGTTACTTTTTGTAATAAATACTTATCGAATAGCGGGTTTAAATGCAACGTCTAAATTCTGTCTACAGATATACAGAATCTAGACTGTTGAAATTAGGTCTAAAAAAATAACTAGACGTCTAATAGCCTTTTGCTCAGTGGGAAGGAATGCAAAATTTTCTCAAGGGCTTTTCTAGGGTGTGACTGTGTTTGGAAAACTGACTTTCTTGAGGGACTTTCCATGGTGTTTGAAGGTACACCGATGGAAAATCCAGTTTTATCATGAGCTCATTGCCAACATATTGCAAATAACAAATATAAACAATAAAAATACACAGTTCTTGTTAGTTTTCTCTATGTGAGCTGCTCATAGTGATCTACTACATGTTCTCTAATACAGCTAAATCATCCCAACAGACTTGATGCATGAATGAACCAGGTTTTAAGACATAAACTGAGAATGTCTAACTTTAAAGTAGGGATGCTTGAGTGATGGTGGTGTGTTTTTTGGGGGGGAATCTGGACCAATAGAAAGCCTCCACATCATGTTTTTTTAGCGGGCCACTACTCTTTGTAAGAATGCCAGCTCTAGATGTCACAGTCAGCCAGTCCTTTTCAACTCATTTTCATGCCAGTCACAATCAGGGCGGCACAGAAAGGACTGAGGAACAGAAAGGGGCTCAGTTGAGTGACTACCATGGGCAGCCATACCAACAGCCCCCTCCTCTGTTTTTTTTTTTTCTTCCTCCCCTGCAGAACAATGTGTCAGTGTTCAACTGTGCCAGATTCACTGCAAGAGGTTGCCCCGCGTTTATTTACGAGTGTATCCACGAGGTTGTGCGGCAATCGCCCTACATTTGACACAGTCTTTAAATGGCCACATCAGCAGACAGATAATCAGTGAGATAAAGAAGAGCATCTTCCATGCCAACTCGGGCAGGGGTGGAGGTTGTGGTGTGGGGGGTGAAAGGGTGAAGGGAGGGGTGTATATAAAAGGGGGCCAATGGGCATTCACAATCCCACGGTCTGTTTGAGCTTCATCACTCCCTGCCTTCAAACCCAGAGAGCCTGCAGCCATGACATTCAACGGAACCTGGAAGGTCGACCGTAGTGAAAACTATGACAAGTTCATGGAGCAGATGGGTGAGTTTTTGAACACCTGGATCGCTGTGAATATTTTAGCAGAGATACATTACAATAGCTCAATTTTAGAGGGGCTTATCCTTCCTCTAAAGAATTCACTTTTTAATGCAAAAGTGAAGTATTAAATGGTTAAAAGCGTACCTTCAAATTTAAAAAAAGGGGTGGTGGTTGTTTGAAAGTATACTGCAATTAATTGGACTTTTTTGGCTGATTTCCACTTATATTGATGTTACTTTTTACACAGCTTTCCGTTCGATTGGCCCTAAAAACTGTATTATTGTTTTAATACATTTAGGATACATTCAACCTAAGTGTAGTCCTTTATATTTTATTCTGTTTTGTGAAGAAACATTTGAAATATGATCAAAATGAAGCTCTAAAACGGACAGATTGAGGTTGTTTCAGGCCCCCCTCATTAAGTAAGTCTGATCTGAGCTATGATGACAATCTGTGTGACGGTATCATGTTTTTCCATACAGTTGGACACTGCTGTATGAGTGATAAATAGTACAGAGATGTGTTGGTATGTTTGAGTTGTTTATGGTACAAGACATATTAATAGCAGTGGCGAAATTCAGATCTTTCTTTGGACTTGGCCGGGGTAACTCTTGGCAAGCGGACATGTGAAGACGTCAAACGCAAACTGAGCTGAGACAGAGAAGGGATTATTCTCATTCTCCAAACATTTAGCAACATACCGGCGTCATGTTTTTGTTGTTGTCTGCTCAACATTTCAGGTGTTAATATCATGAAGCGCAAACTAGCGGAGCATGACAACCTGAAGATCATCATCGAGCAGACCGGGGACAAGTTCCACCTCAAGGAGTCTAGCACTTTCCGCACCAAGGAAATCGACTTCTCCCTGGGCGTCCAGTTTGACTACAGCCTGGCTGATGGCACTGAAGTCTCAGTAAGCGCCATCAAGTTTTTCAACCATTATAGGACCAATAAACGCTAGTGTGTTTGGTGACTGAACGCCAAACATGACAGCGATAGAAAATCAACATTTCATGATCTACTAATGGAAGAGAAAATGCAAGTTCATACTGTCTGTTTTCAACTAGGGTACATGGGAGATGGAGGGCGACATGCTGAAAGGCAAATTCACCAGGAAAGACAACAGCAAAGTCCTGACCACCACCAGAGCTCTGGTAGGAGGAGAGCTGGTGCAGGTCAGTGGATGCAGAAGCATTTTAAGTACAGAACAGTATGTTCAGCCATAACTGCCTCTACAATACTAAAACGTGTCTTTGTCTTTTTTCCTACAGACTTACAACTACGAGGGAGTGGATGCTAAGAGGATTTTCAAGAAGCAGTAAACTGGAGTCAAAAGTTCATATTTTTATTTTTATATAGATGACACACTTTAGATTTGATGTTTTTTTTCTAACAGGGCAAAGTCAAATGGGATTCAACTTTATATACCTAAAAACATTTCAGTTTTTAAGACTTTTTTTTACTTGAAACTTAACTTGAAATACAAAAGCAACTTAAGGAGAAAAGGAGAAACTGCTACTCACAATGTCAGTATGTGTGCCTTAAAAGAGCCTTAACAACCGGTATCCCAGCGATAGCAAACGCTCAGGTTGTATTCAACCATGTGGAGTTTTTGTTTTCTTCGCCAGATTGAAATTTATGCTGACATTCAGTTTTTAAAATGTCATTCAGAAAGTTCAGCAGTCACATATCTCTCCGGGAACAACGCCCTAATTACCAAAAACCTGTTGCTAACAGATTTGGACGACTTTATTGGGGGCAAAATACATAGTTCAAGTTGATGTATCCAAGTTACGCAACAGGTATGTGTCCTCTTGAAATATGTGCTGATGTTGAATTTTTTAATGAGTTTTAAAGTTTTAATTGATATACATGATATACAAATAGTCTATTTTGAATTAGAATGGAATTGGAAAATCATGGCAAAAAACACATAAACAAGTTAATCGAGATCAAAACAGGGAAACGTTCAGCTTAATTTGAGGGAAATTACCCTTTAAATATCCCTAACAGTTGGGTAAACCTTGACTTTGTCATACTATAAACAACAGCATTCATTCTCACACTTCATTTAGCAGTACAGTAATGATCCCACACAAGGTTAAATGTATTGTACGCTGTCTTCAAACTGTTGGGAAATAAGCCAATTTGCACTAATGGTCCTTTATTTTAGTTTGTAACAATAAAGCCATTTTTTGTCACTTGATTCCCATTGCAGTGTCATTATTTAAACATTTGGGGATAAGTATAATCGTTTCATTGTTTAAGTGTAAGTCAAGTTTGGTAACAACTTACATGGATGGTCCAAAAGTCACCTGACCTACATGTCATGTTATCTCTGGGTTTGAAAATCAGCTGTTATCATCGTTTGTTATCATCCCTACATGATAATATTTTATGAGCATCCTAAACCCATAATTAGTATCTTTATCAAGATAGATTTTGAGGAAGAGTCTTATCATGATAGACATACAGGACTGTACTTCAAAACTTCCTCTCTTCAGTGTTACTGCAGCCTCGTCACATGACAGCAGCAGAGTCTTGTGCTGTCATGTGCTGGCCTCTGGGGGAAATCCTCTGCAAGAAGACACGCCAGGGGAGCAATGGATGACTCACATGACAGGGCTGTGGACAGATGGGGCACAATAGAGTTCATTCATGGTAAAATCTTTAAGAGGGGTGCAAGGACGAAACATAAATATAGATGCAGTGAGTGTGTCTGGCCACAAGGAGACAGCAAAGGTCCAGATGTGCTGAATGTGGGAATAGAGCTGGAGTGATATATGGATAACAAGGTCATGATGGATTGACACGATTATTGGACCTACAAATAAAAAGCTTTTGAACAGCAAAAAATATTTTCTTTAAATCTGTAAAAGGAAAAATAATAACAATAATCACTATGACTATTTTTTTTATAATTTATATTATTTATAAATAATAATATTATTATTTTAAATATATTTTTTATTGTCTTTATTTGATATTTTTACTACTTTTTGATACAGTTGATTTTAGTGCAATAAGGTTGAGATCAGTAAAGTCAATTTTTAGTATTTATCACAATATTTCTATTATTACTTTCTGGTGAGAGCAGGAGAAATAGAGTTTAATAAATCAGTAAATAATTATTACATCTTAAGCAAACTCAGTTGATAATTAAATTACAGAGAAGCTGTAATTTAGACAGTGATCCAGTCCTTGAGTGTCTGAGATGGTGTTTTAAATCAATCGATCTTAGACCCCCTGCTGAGCTCTGAGTGGCACCCTCTTTCATGGAGGTATAAACCCGCTGGCACAAGGTTAATCTGGCTGCAGCAGAGCTGCTTTGAACACCAGTTTACCCCTGAATCCACAGTGGGGAGTGGAGTCCTCTGAGACCCCTTGGATACCGTGAGGAGAGTGAGCCTGCAGATTTTACTGCTGCTGAAAGTGGGTTGGTGGGCCACACTAGCTCTCTTCAGAGCCAGATTTGCAGTAAAAGGGTGATTTCATGCTTAAAACCTTTGAACCCTCAAAAACACACCAAGGAAAGTGCTGCACTCCTACTCTGTGGAAATAAATTGAGTAGCTCATCTTGTTTTGATTTGCATTGATAGGAAATGACCTGATAAGTTACTCTAGAACTGATTGCTAATACTATTATAAATTATCTGTATGCTGTATTTAAGTATTTTTATATATCTACCCTCCTGCTTTACAACATACTTTAGCTGTTGACAAGAACCAGTGAGTAAAAGAGCTTCAACTAGGGGTGTCCTGATACAACTTTTGTACTTCAGATACAATTCCGATATTGTGGCCTCCAGTATCGGCGGATACCGAAACTGATCCGATATTGGCACAAAGTTGTGCATGACAAGTTTTGCATTCAGCTGCAATGACTTTAACGAAAAATACTGCCACACATACGACATCACTCCTACTCCTTGCTACTTTGTTAGTACCTTAGTACACACTGTTGTTGTGATCACGTGGGCGCTGCTAGCTAGAGGTGCTGGAGCAGAGTCTGGAATGGACTGCTTGTATTGGAGTGCTGATATCGGAGATTTTAGATGCAGGCTGATATGAGCCGATATTTTTTTTTTGGCTGATATCGGACCAATATCCAATATCAATATCTTATCAGGACAGCCCTAGCTTCAACACATAATTTTAACACAGCAGCACAAAACTCCTGCTAGCTAGCAGCATTAATCAAGTAAAGCAAACTGACTGTAGCTAAAAGTAAACAGCAAATAGGAGAAGGAGTTTACTTCTAGTGAAACGATGCTAACTTACTGCACTTATGCATCAGATAGGCCTTATATTGGCCGCCCTTGTCATTATCATTATCCTTCATTTGTGGTGTCACTTTGTCTTCATTGTGGTAGCAATTTTAAGATTTTATTTAATTAATCTACATTTTGTCAATATTAAATCTCGGGAACAGTTTTTCGATGGATGTAACATCCAGACAAATCCAACATTCACAAATGGGGATTTTGTAAATTTCCTCTTAAATTCCTAGCATCTAAAAATGACTCAAAAGTCTTTTACAAGCTTTTGAAGAAGCTGGAAAAGTCCCTAGAGACTCCCCGAATTTTGATTTATGATGATTAATTATGATTTATTTCTACTTTTGTATCTCTTGTATTGTATTTTATTAGTTTGGTTGTAATCTGTGAAAGGTTCAACATCTTAAATGCCTCTTTGTTGACTAAAAATGATGATTAAAGTCGTGATTGTTGCTTATTTTTATGCCTCATATCTAGTGAAACAATTCATTGTATATGTTTTATTCGTTATAAATATGTATACTATAGAGATATTTTTAATTCTACCAAAAGTCATTGTCCTTTAATACAATGAGAATTATTGAAACATTGTTTTGTGCTGTGACTGAGGCTGTAATGTACGTTCATGGCCACTTGGTAGTACTGTGGAGCTCTTATTGTCTGATACAGAGAGCCTTGGCTGTTCTATGATGTCATCCTCAGTAAAGTTATCATATGACACACACCCTCCTCGTACAGACAAACACACACACCTCCAGAATTATTGGATCTGAGCTGTAATTATTAAAATAACATCTCTCTGTACTTTTGTGGAATCAAAGAACCGACCGGAGCAACATGAAATGAGTGAGAAACAGGAAAGTGGTGGGAATGTTAGCTCTGAGTGTTTTGATTGCTGTGAGACTGAGGGAACAGGGGCCCACCCAAGGGAGATGGGAGCTGTGGGTGAGAGAGGAGAAGGAGGAGGAGTGGGAGGGAGAACAGTGAGAGGTGGACGGAGAGAAGGCTGAGAGGGAGGACGAAGGGAGCACGGAGAGGACAGTGCAGGCAGAAAACACTCCTTGCCCCTCCTCTCGCCCCCCCCACCCGCTGTGAAATAAAATTTACTGACTCACTCTGAAGTCGTCAGCTTATCTGGAAGAGTAACAATCACAAAAGACACCAGCAGCGCGGTGGGAAGAGTCGAGGCTTTTAGTTGAGCAATCGTTCCAATAAGAAACGACCCTGTTTAGGCCCATCGCTGTTTAGACAATGACTGTGCAGAGCTCTGCAGACACACATGCCAACAGCTCAATGATGAGTCACTGGTTAGTCAGGGCTGGATTCTCTATCTGAGGCTTTAAATGCCTACAGATTGAAGTATGACTTCAGGTTTACGCCATTGTGCATGCTGCGATGTAACTTTAACCAGACTGGAGAGTTTTAAAGTCATGTTGTGGTTACAACACTGCAGAGATGATATCACCCACAGACTGCATGATCTCATCATTACACAATATGGTCAGATCAGCTTAGATTAAAAAAAATTCATCACTTTCTATCTTTTGGCATGAGGCAGCATTTATCAGACAAGAGCATCAACCATATAAAAAAGACAAGACAGCTCCCCATGAGTGAAGCGGTTAAACCATTAGGAACTCCTCATGCTGACTGGCAGCAGTAGAGGCCATAAATCCTACCTCCACTGTGTTGAAAGACAGGACAAGAGTCAAACTTTAAAATCTTGTATGCTAAGGTTTCCATGACTACATTAACTGAGACTTAGGGGGCTTTCACACTATGTTGCTTGGTCTTTGAAACCTCCTCTGGACCTTGGTTCGATCAAAAAAGGTGGTCTCGGTCCAGACCATAGACTGTATATACTATGGACAACTTGGTTCCACCTTCTGACAGTATACAGATTTGAAGCCAAAAATTTCTTGGTATTTCTGTTTTTTTTTCTCTACTTCCTGAAACCAACATCGTGCAGTAGCGTTGTACACATTCAGCAGGAGAGTCGCCGAGAGTTGCTGTGATGACGCTCGGCTGAATCAGCATATCTCTGACGTAATCTTCGTAAGCCCATAGGCTGTATCAGGTGTCAGTCGTAGAAAACATGAACCCTCTAATAACTTTTAAAAACGGAGCTTCACAGAAATAAGAGGACTCAAGCACAAACCAGTCTTACAATAACTACATGTCAACATCGCAAGCAGGGGAGAGAAACATTTATATTCTGTGTAATACATTTCTAAAGTTTGTCCACAGCTCCATAGGGATTGCTGGAGGAGGCAACTATTGACAGCTTATCTTTTCAAAAGCTTTACAACATATTCTTTCTCCCCCGAGTCGGTGTTGCAGGGGGGAATGCATACTTCCCTCTCATTTCCTGTCAAAGACAAAGTTGTCATCTAATGATAAAATTGCTAAAACAAACTCGGACTAGCCCCATATACAGCTCTTCAAGTTGTCTCTGTTGGTAGTAGAAAATCAACAATAATTTGATGGTGGGAGTGAAGTTTCATTCATGTTTACAACATTCAAGATCAAATGTGTTGATATCAGACGCCCGCTGGCCAAATGACCAATCAATATAAACTACAGAGACACACAAAACATGTAGTCATGTAGGATTGTCAACTAAAGTCTGTTAGTCTGTTTGCAATAATGACAGTGTGAAACCTAAACAGACTAAACCATGAAATTTATATCATGTAACAAAAACACAGACCTTTCCGGTGTGAAAACACCCTTAAACCTTTAATGCCTGAAACCACAAATTATGGCCAGAAAATTCAATTTTTTTTGGAGCTGAAATGTTATTTTCACTTACTACTGAAAACCCCAAAAAATCAAAATTTACTTAAAATTTAACATTTTTTGTAGGAAGTCCCTGAGCTCCCTCATCCCGTAGGTTCCTCTGGGTTGCTGCTGCTGTGGACCTGTCTGCTCTCCAGCTGCATTAACTATTAACACAAGTCCTTTCACTTTTAACACTGTTACAAAACTAATGTTTATCGATTAGCAAAAGTGGGTCTGATCCAACAATTTATGGTAACAAATGGGAGAGTGTAAACCTTCCAGTCATTCATATATGACCTGATGTATCTCAACAGTTTAGAGATAATGCATCTTTATACTACTCACAAATTTAACATATGCTGCAACCTATGTTAGTTATTCACGGGAATGCATTCCTTTTTTTTGAGTGGAAAAAGCCAAAAGATCAGACAACTGGATCATGATGTATAGGACACTGTCCATAGCAGCCGTCTAAGACAACAAACTATGGTTGATTATTACTATAAGAGGTGGCGAATGTTTTACTGCAGTTGGTGAGTAATACGTTTAAGGGAGCACACAAAATCCAGACCCAGATGGTTGGGTAATGGATAAATCCAAAGAGGAGGAGTGACATATTTTTAACTCTTCGAAGCAGGAAAAACAGAGCGATTTTAGCAATGGTCGTGTCTGTCATGTTGCAGCAGTAAGAGAATGTAAGAGGAGGCAGAAACACCTCTCTAATGGACTTGTCAAAGAGAGTAACACCATTACAAAGTGTTGCCAGTTGGGCGTTTGCATGTATGCACCCAGATGAATATGTCCCCTTGCCCACACGAATGCACACACAAGGACTTTTATCCCCCTCTTTACTCGGCTCTGACACCCTCTGTGTAACCCCTCCAGGCATGGGCGAGTGTGTGTCATGTGAGAAGCTGGTGTGCGCCACCCGGTGCGACAGAAGAAAGTGGAGATGTGGAGAGAAACTAAATTGGCTTTGGCCTCTGTCTCAGGAGTGGCCAGCCCCTGGGTTAGGAGGGCTATTCTTATAGAGGGCAGAAAGAGGTCTCCCGCTCCCCTGGTGCACAAACCACTTTATAGAATCCCACATCATGTTTTGACGGCCTCCTGGGAATGTGGGGGAGGTGTTATCCAATGACAAGTGTGAGAGTGGAACAGGAAATTGAGATTTACGCAGGGCTTTGTGGGTAACAGGGAACTTCTAAATGGAGGGAAAGTGTCAAAATCCAGTTGTCATTCTCTGATTAAATAACCTAGAAGCTGACAAGAGGACGAATTTTTTATTTATAAAGCTTGATAAAGTCAAACCCAAACCAATAAAATAAAGAAGTTTTCCTTTTCATTCCAGTCTTCTTCTTTGGCTTTTATTTTGGTAGTGCTATTTCCTTGTTTTTCAAGCTTTTATCCATCCGTGTATTTCCAGGTTAACCATCTGAACAGGAGGTACCACCAATTCTATGAATTCTATTTCTGTATGTAACCGTAATTGAACATTTCAAAGTAAGAGTGCATAAAGACCCAAAGAAGTGCGCCCGGCTTTGTAGTCGATTTAACATGGTGGCAAAACCATATCATTGCAATTTACAGCGACTACATGTGATGAAAAATGGCCTATAGACTTTTCCGTCATCTGTTTAGACGAAAAAGAGAAAGTCGTAAATTGAAAAAGAGCCACATTTCTCTAGACTATGTGACGTTGCACTCTAGTTTTACCAATCTGAATTATTAAAGCACTTATAAGGAGTTTTCTGAGGTTTATGAAATCGATTGAAATTCACACAGATGTTTTTTTATGATCATTCAAAGCCAACAAGACCATTAGCAACAAGATTAGCCATATGTACAGGACAGTTTTAAAAGCCTGTAACCAATGTGAGGGGGTAGGTGTCCACCGGGCAGCCATGTTGTTACCACAGACTGTATATACTATGGACAACTTGGTTCCACCTCCAGTCAGTATACAGATTTGAAGCCAAAAAGCTCTCGGTATTTCCAGGATTTTTCTTCATTTCCTGAAACCAGCATTGTGCAGTAGCATTATACGCATTCAGCAGGAGAGTCACAGAGAGTCCCTGTGATGACGCTCGGCTCAAACAGCGTATCCCCCGGGTGAGCTACGCAATCTTCGTACGCCCATAGGCTGTATCACGTGTCAATTGTAGAAAACATGAGCCCCTAATAACTTTTAAAAACTGAGGTTTGCAGAAAAAAGAGGACTTGAGCACAAACCAGTCTTACAGTAACTACATGTCAACATTGCAAGCAGGGGGGGAAGAAAATTTATGTTCTGTGTAATAAATTTCTTAAGTTTGTCCACTGCTCCATAAGCTTTTCTGTAGGAGGCGGGATATATGACCTATACAGCCCGTCAACAGAGGGTGCTGTTCTTGGAGTGGCTTCACCCAGCGAGGAGGCAGACGCTGTCCATTCTATATACAGCCTATGATTTTTACAAATTCATATAAAACACTCAGAAAAAATCATATATTTGACTTTTTAACACTTACTTTTTTGTCATTAGTAAGTACTTAAAGCTCCTGCAAGGAACTTTTAATTGGCGTCTGTTGTGGCACCCCTTGTGGTCAGAGCAGTCTTTGCTTTTCTTGTACATACATTTTAGTGTGTTTCCTAAAAAGCTTCTGATAGGAAAAACAGCAATGACTCTTTTGTCCACAGGGGGCGCCAAAATAGACACAAACATCGGAACAAAAGTTCCTCACGGGAGCTTTTAAAAAAAGGTAAATTTAGCTTTTTAGAAGAATATATTCTATTTTCACTGGTAGTGCTGAAATTTCTGGGTCCTTGAAGCACGATAACGACAACATTCAGAAAGACGTAACCATGACAGCAGGGATTATGTCAATCTTTAATGGCAGATGGCCTGAAATGTCTTCATTGAACATTTTCATAAAAACTTCTCATTGTGATCACCTTTCTTTTTCTTTTCTTTTTTTTGGTTTCAAACAAACAAACCTCTGCAATTCACTGAAATACAGTTTCTCCTCACAGCGGTTAAAGTACATAAATATCAACAGTACTATGCATTAAGAAAAAAAGAAAAAGAACACACACATGCTGTGAACATGCACAGAACACACAGGTACGCACATGGTATACTAAACTAGAAAGAAAAAGTTCTCCTTGACAAAAAGGGAGGGGATCATTGGAGTCATTTCCAGAAACTTCTGTACCGTACTGCTGGCAACACACAGAAAGATCCATTCGTTCAAAGAGCGTGTTTTTCTCTGGATTTCACAGTGAGTTATGTAGGTAAAACAGCATTTATATATCAGATACAAACACACAGAGGAGCTCTAGAAAATTACCAAATGAATATACAATAAAACTTACATTAATACTTACAATGAATTATATAATGGGCATCCTCTATTAACTTTAAAAACCCATAAAAACACACACACGCACACACACCTTATAAATACTTGTTCTAATAAATTTGGTGCCATACTCGGCTTTAAAAAATGTCTGTAGAAGCAAAACCTGCTTCAGAAAATCAGTCGATAGTATGTGCATATTATCATTATTATTATTATTCATTACAAACACTGACTATACGATTCAACCACTCCAATATGATTGTACACACCTGGGCCAGAGATTACAGGAAAGATTGTTTTTTTCAGGTGTTTGATTGTCACATCACTGTGAAATGTGACTTAGCCTCGTCAGAATAGAACAAGAATCGCTGTTTGTTTCTGGAAGAGTGCGACATGAATGAGAAATTTGGCGTCAAAATGTCACAGAAATATGATCACTCGCTGATATATCAAACAGCAAAGACGTTATTGCAGGCCCAGAGGAGGCGAGATTACAAAAGATGATTTTTTTTTTAACACTCCAATCATTGTTATGCAAATTGAAATTTTCTCAAAAAAAAAAGAAAAGAAAAAAAAAAGAAGCAGGTTGGCTCCCTAAAAATAGACAAAAGAGACAAATTGCTTTAAGTGACTATCCTTTCAGATGCAGAGTGGCTCTTTGGAGTGACACCAAAAGAGACGTGCAGCAAAAATAATGTCATACTTCATAAGAAATCAGATTGAGCAGTACAAAGCAGTCAGAAACAGAATAATTCCACTAGCCCAGATAGCTCTCCAGTGTAAAAAATAAAATGCCTTTGGTCTTTTGTTTCTCTATACTGTGCTGCTGCTGCTGTCCTCCTGCTGAACAATGAAGAAGCAGGTTCCTTATTTTAGCAGGGCTCAGTTAGCCGTGTGTTGCAGTCTTCAGGGTCACTCTACCTTCACCGGTGATGGCTTATTCTCATCGACACCTCTTATTTTTTTTTTTATACACATTTGATTAACTGCAAACAGGAGTCGGATCAGGCTGCAAATCCTAAAAAAAGGACTAGTATGTCGGTTTCCTCGGGTAAAGACACCACACAAAGACACACGGTATGCAGAAAAGGACAAGAGCAATCCGACAGGGCTGCTTTGGTATAGCAGGGCGACTTAGCATCTAACATGGCACGAGAAAAGAAAGAAAAATAACACATGAAAACTTCTCACACAACATGAACCAATCAAACGTTTCAAACATCGTCTTGATTACAAAAATACTTTTTTGTATTTCTTTAAAATATCTAAAAATGTACAGCATTGTTTTTTTTTCGTCTTTTTTTTGCAAAGTCATGCTTCAACATGTATTTAATAATCATAATAACATTAATATGAATGATATACAGAATAGTAATAATTATAGTCATATAATAACATAACCTGGCAGCGCTTTGGTGACACTTCCAGACGTCTGGCCTTGCAAAGTTCCTGCATAAATTGTCGATACACCTGCATATACACAAAGCACAGCAAGAGGCCTGCTAACCAGGCGATGCAGTCACAGAGGGTGTGCTTGCCTTAGTCGTGGTACCTTTAAGGTTTCAGAAGAGGCGTGGCCAAAGCGCTGCCAGTCAATCTTGAGTATGTAACAGTATAAAAAAGAGTTGGGGGCGGGACTTTTCAGGGAGGGTGGGGGGTGCTCGATGTGTGATGGAGGCTGGGGTCTAGAATGTCCTGAGGCCCATGAGGCTGCTGTTGCCTGCGAGAGAGTGAGAGAGAAAGAGGGAAAGAACGGGGTGAGGTTGCCATGGTCACCGCACACAAACCTTGTACACTAATGAAAACACAGGGGAGCATGTGGAACTTATGCACAAACAAACAGTCACACAACCGCAAGGATCATAAAAGGTAGACGCTCGCACACACAGATGTACACACACGCATTTCTCAATTTCTCCAAGTGATGCCAGGACCACACACACTTTTATCCCACAAATATCTTGTACCAGGTTTGTTTTCAAAACTCTCTCTGTTGAGCAAAAAGCTGAGAGACACACACACAGGTAAAGGCTGACAGTGTGGCTCAGTGCGGCTCAGTCATCCCAGCAGCAAAATACAGGCTCAGACATAAAAAAGAACTCGGCTTTCACAGCTTTTTCCACAAATCTATGCTGTAATACCAGATATTTTGCCGGAAGGGAAAGGGGCGCCTCAGGTAGAGAGGTGAGATTTACACCTTTTGTCCTCGCCTGTTGGGATCAATGCTCGTGAAATCCCAAGTCGTAAAACTCACCGACGGTACGCTGCTCCGAGACCTGGAGTCAGCTCCGTCCTCCTGGTTTCTAATTGGACATGAGAGGCAATCAGCAAACGCCCGTCACAGCCGGCCACGGCCACCATCACACATCAGGAACCTGTGGACACAGAGCACATGTAGGTTTAGAAGAGAGCGTGTTAACACAGCAGCAAGAACTGCTGGTGGAGATATAAAGTTTAATGTGCTCATTCATTATAATGACCTCAGTTTATGACTCTGTATAGTGTTTTTTGTGTGCCATCTGACTCCAATAAATAAGCGACTTGAGGGATCTTTGCAGTATTAAAATAGAGTTTTAAAACCATGATGCACCATTAGCCAAATCCCCATCACCTGCACTTAAACCTGACTGCACCATGTGACTTGAAGAGTGTATATTAAAGTGATGGTAAAGCAAAGCTGTGTATAGATCTGATCTGAGTGAGGTTTTTAAAGCGTGAACCACGGATTTAGAAATGCACCAACCCAGGTGAAGCAATTTAAAGCTTTTACCTGCAGTTCTTCGAGTGTCCACTAGAGGCTGGCTCCAAAGTTGAGGACAATTAGTATAAGTGGGTTTACATCGACAGAGGTCGGGTCGATTTGACTGATACGTGGGTGCGTTGTAGTTAGTAACCAGATCCGCTTCTTTGCAAACTTCTAGATTCGTCAAAAAGTTTGTTGATTTTCAACATGGCGGCCGGCATCTCTTCAACAACTTGTGAGTGACATCACTGCCGCAAGGTCCGTATAATACTGTCAATGGTTGTTTATAAGCACTTAAACTGTATTTATGTAACACAGGATTGTAGTTTGATGTTACAATCTGTATGTTTATTTACTCAAAATGTAGTTTATTTTTACTTAGAAGTTATATTTTTCAATGTACAATTGCAATGCGAAAATTAGCATGCTGTTAAAACAATAGTCTTCTCCAGACTCAGGTCATATGATTTCTAAAAAGTTTTTTTTTTTTGTAACGCCATTAGAGCTGAAAAGACCACATCAAACTGTTTTTTCCCGGGTCATAAGCATACCCTTTAAAATTCATCGATTTTGCCATCATCTTCTTTTTCATCTCTACCGAATGGTGACCGTGACAGACAGGATTTCGGCCCATAACAGACTCAAATACTTCTCTCACAACCATATCTCCCATGATCCCCTCCCAACTCTGGCTCCATTATCCTCTGACCAACAGCAGCAACAGAGGACCTAAGAGAGAGGTCAGCACTCCGACCTCCTCACCCAAACCCAGATGTATTACCAAAAATAGACCTCTCTTCGAGGTCGTGGTAACTCTGGTTCGAAGGGGCAGAAGCGGGATAAGGAGCTCTTTGTAACAATAAACAATTAGAAAACCAAACATGACCTTAAGGAAGAGGAAGAGAGAGAGGGACTGTTACAAACATGGATGGGAGACAGGTTTAAAAAGCAGGGGTTTTTTTTCTGAAGGGGCACGGCTGGCCTAGCTAATGCCCTGTTGCGCGCTCAATCAGGGGTGAGGGAATCGATGCAATACTCAGCCGCTTGGCTAAGCTGATGCGACGCATACTTCCAGACCTTCCTATTTGTTCTGGCTGAGACACCAAGGTTAAAGACTGGGTTGATCATTGAACATGTCTCTGCGGATTAGGAGAAGGTTTAGTGATCTGCAGGCTTAATGTGTTACAGCCAATAACGCAGGCTGGGCGCATGATGTGAGATAGGTAAACAAGTGGTGTTTGAGAATGTGGGAGCTGACTGGCTTTCTCATGAATGTGTGCACTGTTTCCTGGCTTTATTTCCATGCAGAGAATGTTCCTGTGTGTGTTATCAGTGATCATTGATCTCGTGCTGCAAATAAAGAGAGAGGAGTCTTGTTCATATTTAAACCTCAAAATGTGATGGTGCTTTGCTCTAGCCTCAACTGTTCCCTTTTAAAAGCTATGTAACCACCCTGAGGGGAGCTCATTGTATTTTTCCACCATCAAAGCATCTTCAATTTTCATTTTAACTCTTGAGTTGTCTTATAAGACAAAGTATCCAACATCAAATCAGTGCTTGTTCTTCTCAACCACAGCCAGTAATTAGATTTGGAGTAAAGGGGATTGTTAATTAATCAGTTACTCAACTGGAAAAAAATACCTGCCTATGATAATGATTGACTACAATCCTGGAAAATACAGTAAGTTACACTGAAATGAAGAATTTCCATGTTTCAGTCCTGCACTGATGCAGGCTGAAGCTAATTATATCAACAACTACAGCAAAAATATGCATATTAGAGGTGGGAAACACAGGGTGACTCATAGTGTGATGCAAGACAATATGATGCCTTAAAACACAATATGATATGAAACGACACAACACCATTCAGGTCTATCAGGCACAATATGATATAACACAAGACAATACCAGAGGAAATGATAGGATTCAATACTGTACAGTCACATAAGATAAGATAAGATAAGATAAGATAAGATAAGATATATGATATGATATGATACGATACGATACAAAACCATTTGATATCGCTAAGGTACCTTTTCATACAGTACGACACGATACAATAGAATAAGATATATAAAAATATGATGTGAAATGATACTGCACCATTCCATTTGATAAAAACACTAAGATACTGTTAATTATGATATGATATGATACAATACAATGACGTGACACTAATTAGCCTAGATATGCTACGATAGCATTCAATTAGATACAATATTATACTCTAATATTATTATAAGATACAATGTGATATGATAGGATATGGTTAAATGCAATATGTTTCGTTATGGTACACTACAATAAGATACAATACAATACAATGAGATACAACCCCACCCCCTTCAATACGATACAATACAATATGATATGATACGATACGATACGTTATGGCAGATACATTACGATTCAATTCCTGTTACACTGTTGGCGATACAGTGTTTCATAACAACTGATAAAATGCAGAGACTATCAAGCCATGATGATACAAACAAGTATTTTTGGCACCAGGAGTGAGGCAGTAAGGATCTTGTGAGTCAAACTAAAGACCAACCTGTTTAGAGTTCTGTATTGATTTTTTTAGTCGTATGTCACAATGCTGGACAACAATATAGCTGATTGTTACGCTGATATTTTGATCCACGTACATATTTGTCTGCTGATATGTTTTTCCTTTAACAACACTTATTTTCTGACATTTTAATTCTATGGACTTAGATTTTTGGTATGAATTTAAGAAATCATGTCTCCACGGTGATGTGCTCAAAATCTCATTAGCAATGCAAGGTAGAGCAATACAGATACAGCGGCAGGTCTAAATTAAATCAAGCTGCACTTAAACTGCCATGCAACCAATCCAAGGCTGCGAAATGAAATGCAGACTCATCTATCATAAAACATGAAACACATCTAAGTGGTGTAATCTGTCTTCCGTCTGAGTTTAATGTCAAAAAGACGATAATGTTAACCAATCATCCTCTCAAACTCTTTGAGGAATGCATCAAGGATGTGAAGCTGTACATCCTACGTAGAACAATGTTAACAATGTTAAATATCCTCAATTTGTAAACCTGGAGCTTAAACTTGCAAGCCAACCTGCACAGCCCTTGAAGATTTCTACCTGTGCAGCCTGGCCATGAAAAAGCAGCCTGTCTGAAGCCCCTTTAATCTGGAGAAAAGCCTTTAGGCCCCGGCTGTGTTTCTCACATACCAGCCAGGGCTGCTGGAGCTGGGTGGTGATGAACACAGCTGCTGACATGTATCCAGCTCCTGAGACCCGGTGCACGGATGAGACAGCCACACTGTATGTGTTTTGAGTGTGAGTGTGTGTGTTATGTGTCAGTAGGGGGTAAAGGGGGAAAAAAAAGTACCACTTCCTTATTAGAAAGGGCCCCAGCTGGCCCTCAGCTCTCCTGTGGGAGTTAGTCCAACGCTGCACAGGAACCATTGGTTTTGTCGGGCTATTGGCCAAAAAAACTCCTCAGGGCAGGCAGTCACACACACGCACACATATGTCTCGCACACACAAGCATGACACGCACACTGCAGTCCCCTGCCATGTCTTGTCAGATGGAAAATCCGGATTACCTCTCCATCCAGTTCACTAGGCATTAACGTCCACTATTAGGTTGTCTTTGGATGGAGCTCTGTGCCCGAGCATGAATGTCAAATATAATTCACCAATTCAAAGAAGTAACCTCAGCTCCCAAAGGGACTACAAAAGCTAAAAACTACAGAGTTATGTGTCTTAAAGAGTCAAAATAGAACAGCTACCTGTTTCAACTTGCATGAAGTGGCACTTGTATAAATAAAGCACTCAAAATGAAACCTGCATGCCATCCCGTCACCGGCAGACAGATTGTACAATACCAGTGCAACACAGACGGCCTCTCTCCGTAACCTCAGATCGTGTTTATTCTTGCAGTCTTGCTGCTAAAATTGCTTCAAAGTGTTTCACAAGCTCAACAGATTGCGTTGCAGGAATAAGTAACACCCTCCTTTCAGCTTGCATCAAGACATTAAGTCACTGTGTTTCCAACTTCAAACTGTATCCACTGGATAAACAAGCAGGACCAGGAGAACACAAGGTTTTGGTACAGCTGCAAGATGTCAGGGACAAACTGAGCAGGGAGGTTAACTCAACTCAACTCTGACAGTTCACTGCATTTAGCACTGGAGAAAAAAAATCATTTACATTAATGTTTGTCACAAGACAGGACATCTAATGTTTAAAGCATCTGTAAGGGACTTTCAGGTGCTGTTGAAACACGTGAATCTGAACATCTGAACTTGACATTGTTTCTTTTTAATATCAGTTTTATCAGTTTCACAACCAGGTGTTTTGGGAAATGTCTTCACTGTTATGTCAACTGTTCTTAACAAAGCCATGCATGTTGTATATTTTCATTACAAATGTATTGTGTAAGATCCCAGCATGGGTTGGGCCTCATTACTCACATTAATTTTAGTCTGTTGAGGACCTCGCTGTGTCAAACTGCTGCAGTGGATTTTTATTCTCACTGTTTTCTGACTGAAGGTCTCTGCTTCACCCTCCACTCTAAACCGGATGTGGGGGTGTTGTTGTTTCATTGAAAGGCTAATGTCCACTGGGGCAGCCTGACCCTTTAAATGACTTCCTCCTGGTCTGATAGAGAAATAATTATTTCCTTCAAGCCCCTCCTTTCCCTAATCCCCGTCTCCTTTCCCTCCCTCCCCAGCAGAGATGAAATCCCCCAAATTACTCCAACTTCTTTTTTCTTTTTTTTTGTCGTGCTGCATGTTTCACTCTCCCCAAACCAGGATGTGGGGTTACAAAGGGACACTGAAGGACCAGCGCCAATCAACAGCCTGATGAATGTTAGCCTCAATGCTAACATCACCACCCGCCCTCTCCCCACCAGCTCCCCAAGGGGTCGAGAGGACATGTTTCTTCCTGTCCTAAGATGTTGGAGGGTGGGTACTGGTGACAGAGTGACTGGCGCCGAGTGCAAACACACGCACGCACACACACTCACATGCACAAAAACGCACCCCAGACACAGTCTGCCAACACCGATACAAGAAATAGCAGAGGATTTGTTGTGCTTTGTGGTTTTGTTTTTCTGCAAGCACAACACTGTTTAGTTTGTCTAAACCAAAGGCGAAGCACATGCACTGTGAAGCTCATGCTCGGTTGAAGCAACTCATGAATTTATCGAAAGACTTATTTGAAACCAGCTGCTCCATGTACTGTCTGCACATAAACTAATTCATCTGCAATTCATTTCAAACAAAGCCCCGTGCTAATCATTTTTTAATAAAGATTCATAAAAATTTGCCCTCATGGCAGAATCCAGGTACCTCAGCAGTTCATGGTGGATGTTCCACATTCACGACCTTTTAAAGAATCACATCCTCCCTCTCTCTCTCTATCTTTCTCTCTTTCTTTTTCTGCCTAGTCTTCTTTACAATCCTCCACTGTGTGCTTCGTTACAACAGGAAAATGCAGAAAGCGTTTTTTAAAATTAAAAACTGTGTTTCATTCTGCCAGAGTTTGACAAAATGACAAATATTCCCTAATATCGGCAGCATAGTAGCAACATTATTACAGGATAATATTCAATGTTTTTATGAGGAAGAGCATGAGCTTATTAACTTTTACACACAAACATGCACATTAAAGGCTGTTCTGTGGAGCCAATAAGAACCGCTCTAGTCCTCTGCTAAATACAGCTCATGTTCATGTTAATGAATAACCATTTGCATGTAAAAATTTGTCAGGAAATTGTCAAACAAAATCACTGTCAGTGGTTTGAGAGTCATAATTTGAGCTGCACAAATAACATCAACAATGAATGAGAACAAGTCGAGAGAGATTTCAACTGATTCTGTGCTTCTGTTTCCAAAACTATGTTGTTTTTCTGAATGCAGTTTTACTGTTTCATTCATTGACCCCTTTCTTAAAGGGATATTCCGGCGTATAGCAACTTTAGTAACGCCCACAAGATAGCAATACACAGTGGTCCCAGGAGCCACGTGCTCGACCAAAACGCCACTCTATAGCCACAAATAATGCTCAGAACAGCACCTAACTTCATCAACAGTACAGATAGGGTCCCAGCCATAGTACTAGCCACCAAACATCTTTTTGACTTTGCCTAATTCCTTTAGCAAAGAGACTAAACACAACTCACCTACTCTCTTCCAGCAGCCGCTTGTTTGTACGGAAACCTCGGGCCAGTCCATTATGGACTAAAGCGGGGTGACGCAGCTCAAGGAAGAACATTTATGATAATTACTTCATGGAAATGCAATCAGACTGAGATGCTAAGGCAGAAGAACTACAGCGTCTGCAGTGCAAAATGATTCATATGGTGATTTTTACTTCAAGGAAATGATAAAGTAATGATCATAAATGTTCTTCCACTGTGTATTGCTATCTTGCGGTCGTTACTAAAGTTGGTATAACTAGAGAAGCAAGTAGTCGGCAACATTCATTTGTCGTCTAACTGGGCTTTACGGTGTGTTTGATCCTAACTTAATTTTACGCCGGAATATCCCTTTAAGTATTTTTAAGATATTGTGTGCAACTTAGTTTAGCAAAACAGACAAATCAAGTGTACCTGGTCAGCATGATGAAAAAATGCAATATTTTGTTGGTGTTAATTACCCACATGCCTTTGAAGAATTGGCCAGTTCTAACATTATATCACCCCGGGTGTCAACACTTTGCCGTGCTGACCATTAAATGAAAAACCGAATAGTTGAGGTTTGACTGAAGCATCAAAAAGCCAAAAATACAGAAATTGCAGAACCAAAACTTCAAAAATTAATAATGTCGAATAAAAGTGGTGACGCAAGAAGTTGTATTTTTTCTCCTGAGTTGTGAAACATGATAGAAAAAAAAAAAAGTTGCATACATGGGAATATCACTAAGCATTACAAGCATGGTAGCCTAAATTCAAACTGTGTGACTTTCACCTCTTGCTTTAATATAAGCAGCTAGCATTAGCATATTAGTCGTATTTGCTGAGATCAACCCTGTCCGTTTTATTAAAATGTTGGTGTTGGAGCTCGTTGTGTATTCTGTTTGACTCGCTGCCTTTGATGCCTGAGATCAAGCATCACATCAATGGGAGAAGTCAACCCTCTGTACACTGTGACCTGAGTGGGGAAAGTAATGGAGTTCCCCCTTAAAAATTGCATCTTTCATCTCTCGTGATGATGTCTAAGGGGCGGCTGTGGTTTCATTGACCCACAAGGCTTTGCACTCCAATATTTGCTCCTCGTAGGGTAATTATTTTTGTTTGCTGTTATACCTCTACATTTGAAGTCGACTAGGAGAAGTGTAACTAATTAGTTGGTTAGCTGGCAGAGCACTCAGTGGTTGCTTTTCATGTGAAGGTTTGGGGGCAGAAAGAGGGGGCTTGGTTGATGCACAGGCCATTCATCATGACAGCCTGTAATACTCATGACATACAATACGAGTAGGAGTATCACTGTGTTCGTTTACATAAACTAAACATAACATTTGCTTAAGTATTTTCCTAGCACTGCATAATGTACACTTCTTTGACAGTGCAGGGCAGGGGGCTCTGTGTGTGTGTGCGTGTAACTATATTTATAATATATATATGTATGGTGTGTGTATGTTACTCACACATACTTCAGCAGAACTGCCTGGACTTCCATCCCTGAGGAGTTCCATCTGCAGGTGGGAGCCAGCGAATCTAAACACGCAGAAGCACATAAGCATTTAAACTCTTCAACACACATGAGATGACATGACTACATAATTCCCCATGTACAAATTAAACATGCAATTTTTCTAAGTTCATTTTTGCTTGACATCACAAGAGGATATGTACAGCAATAATTTGATTAGTTTTCTTTAATGTCGCCATGTTTGGGTCAGCTGACTTTGCAAGACTGCTGCACTGTGGCAGCAGACAGTATCTAAACTGAGCTGGGGAGCCTTTTAATGTGTCAGCTACTGTAAAAGACAGCTCTTGTTCATAAATGATACTATAGAGAGTCGTACAGGAGCCAAAAAGAGCAGTTTTTGATGGGGAAACTGGTCTGGATCACTTAAAAAGCCTGAATTCCCATCGCTGGAGCATTTATACTGAAGAAAAAAGAAACAAGAAGGATCCAAACCCGGCTTGAGCAAGCTCATGTGACCTCTATAGATTCAAAGTGATCGAGATAAAGGCTGTGTCAGAAATGAATTACTTAATCCCTAACCCCTAACCCTCCATATGGGGTTTCACTATATAGCTGACTATGTAGTGAACTCAATCACTGGAGGTTTCGGACACTACATGGCGCACCGTTGTGATGTTGCTACTCAGACTGCCGCGTCTGAAGTTGCAGCTGTTTTTTTTTCACATCTCTTGAATTTTATGATGTTGTATAGATGTATTTTTTTTTCCAGGATGTTCGTGAAATTAAAAAAAATAAAAAAATTAAAATATATATAATAATTTATTTAAAAGGCTTTTTATTTTCATACCAAATATTGTTTGCTGCGTCATATTGTGCACGAGACTATATGACGCAGCAACTAGAGCTTGGTTCTGTCTCTTCTTGCTCTCGTCATGAGGCCGCTGGAGACTCAATGCGTGACGGGGTGCCCACCACCAGTGAGTGACCATCAGATGGTCAGTACATTTTGCAATGCTCTATGGGAAATTTTGAGTCGCCTATTGGTGCATTGGAATTAATCTCTCAGGTTTCGGACACCCTTCAAAATGGCGCTAACCCCCATATAGTCACCTACATAGGGCTTAGGGATCCATTTCGGACACAGCCAAAGTCTTTTACCAGACCTGGAACATGGGGACTTATCTCATGTTTCTCTTGTTTTTAACTTTGGTGGATTTTGAATAGAACATACCTTTTTAAATCTATGATAATACAATACTCAAATCAGACCATACTAAATGTTTTGGGAACTAATATCTACAATCTATATCTTTGCAAAGAGTCTGAATGATAGCGTTTACTGTAAATCCATAACATGAGTCTGTTTTCCCTGGAAATGATGACATCTGCTGAGCCAGAAAGCTGAGCTCATGTTGACCTAATTTCTAAGTCTTCACAGAGTCTGTACATGTGCCGTATTTCTATGCATTTATGTCTCACATCAGCATCTACTCTCGGTCAGAAGAGGCTGTAGGATGCTAACTCTACCTACAAACCCCTACTGACACCCCAAAGCTTGATCCTCCTCGTGTGTGTCAGTGTGCGCTCACATATCCAACAAACATGGAAAAATGCCAGCGAGGCAGATTCGACTTCATTTCAAATTCTGACATCATCTGAGCTTCAGCTTTGGTCTCTTTGCTAGGGGCCTTTATACTTTCGCAGCCGTAGCATCTGCATTATGTATGGAAATATGCTCTTTATAGAGAAGATAAAAGACATCGAAAGAAAGTGTAACAATTTGAGCTTAAAATACTGCAAACCACTCGACAGAAAAACAAAAGAGAAAATCAAAACACAGGAATTCAGAAACAGCATTGCTTAACACTGAGAATTCATCAGGGTTAGCTGCAGCAAACAGGCTCCATGAGAAGAATTTCAAGAGATCAATAATGAACTCTCAAGTGAACCCAGAGCGAAGCTGTGCAGATTAGAGAACCTCAGTAAACTAGATCACTGTTAGTTGAATTACAGGAGTTTATTTAATGAAGTAGCTGATGGGGGAATGACGACAGAAAAAAGGAGGTTCAACCACTGAAACTGACATTTCTGCAAACGATTAAGTGTCACTGTATGAGTTTTTACTGATGTGAAGACTGTCATCTGGTACATTTTTAGATTTTCAACTTTCTCAGTCTTGAATCCTTGACTGTAAAAGATGTGGCATGTGTCAATCAACTTGATTTGCAGCTAAGTCATGACTGTCACGTTGATGGTAATTTTCAGGGTTTTATACTAGTAGTATACTTTACTTATATACTTATACATACTTAAAGGGATATTCCGGCGTAAAATTAATTTAATTAATTTAAAACACCGTAACACCGAGTTAGACCCCCCCACCCCCCAAAGAGATGGATGTTGCCGACCGCTTGCTTCTCTGCAGAGCAAAATTATTAATATGGTGATTATTACTTTGAGGAAATGATAAAGAAATGATCATAAATGTTCTTCCTTGAGCTGTGTCGCCCCGCTGTAGTCTGTAATGGACGCTACAAACAAGTGGCTGCTGGAAGAGAGTAGGTGAGTTGTGTTTAGTCTCTTTGCTAAAGAAATTAGGCAAAGCTAAAAATATTTTTGATGGCTGGTACTATGGCTGGGACCCTATATGTACTGTTGATGAAGTTAGGTGCTGTTCTGAGCATTATTTGTGGCTATAGAGTGGCATTTTGGTTGAGGTTTGTGTGTGGCTCCTCAGACTGCTGTGTATTGCTATCGTCGGTCGTTACTAAAGTTGGTATAACTAGAGAAGCAAGTGGTCAGCAACATTCATCTCTCAAGGGGGTGTCTAACTCGGTGTTACAGTGTGTTTGACCCTAAATTAATTTTACGCCGGATTATCCCTTTAATACTAATATGCTTCCCCTTGGCAAGTGATTGGTTACAACCAGCATTAGTTATTCCTATGGAGCAAAGCTTTAATTCGATTCCTGGACATCATTGGGATCTTAAAATTCACGTCACCTTGTAAATAAGATATTTTAAAAGTCACCGCCTTCAGTTTCAATAAACATATTTGCGATGCCAAATTCCTGATCCATAATCCGCTTTACGGGAAGAAGATAGATAACGTTGTGTACCTAGGAAAAATGTTGTTAAAATTTAGATAAAACTTTATCATGGGAAAGTTTGTTTTCTGTCTTGTGAGAACTACTCCCTGATTCCATCAATATCATCAAACTTAGCTGGAAACCGAGGATTACACATAACTTCAAACTCCCTGTAAACATTGAAAAAACGTACATGAGTTTCCCGGACAGAAAGAAAAGTATGAAATTTCTCAGAATCTTAACTAACCCAAGACTTTAAATCAACACAGAAGAAATCAAGATTGGTGCTTATCAGTGGATTTTTGTGTGCTCTGAGATGAATCTGTGGGTCGAAGCAGAGAGTGATTTCAGGCCTGACAACAGCAGCTGTTTGAGGGGCTACAGAAACAGAGAGGGGTGGTGGTTGAGGTCGAGGTTGAGGTGGTGGTGATGGAGCAGAGGAGGGGAGGGGATGGGTTTGCAGGTTACCTGAGCGTGGAGCGAGGAGGGGTAGGTGAAAGCGGGTGGGAGGGCCGGCGACAGCTCCGCCGGGTACAGTGGGTATGACGCCCACACGTCTGGGCTGCTGGGATACAGAGCAGGCACTGTGAGCTCATCTGTGGAAAGAAGAAGAGGAGGAGTGGAGTGAGGAAGGTGGCCAGTGGATGGGCAGGTGGCTGAAGAGACAGGGTGGAGGTGATGATGGTGGTAATGGAGGTGGTGGTAATGGTGGTGGTTGAGGTGCGCTACAGGTGGTCATTTGTGATCTGAAGCAGCTTCCTCTCATTTCATTTCATGAAGCAGCTGATTGTCTTCTAAACTCCTCCCCCCAAAACAACACCCAATCATGGCTGAGCAACTGTAATAAGCCATGAAGGACATGCTAAGGCCTGTATTGCTCAAAAGAGTTAACACATTTGGCTGTGGTGGACATGAAAAAGTATTTTAAAAAGTTAAGTCAAATTATTCCTTCGCAATTTCGTCAAACCTGTTAAGCTAGCTCGCTGCAGCTGTGACGTTTGTCGTTTTAGCTAACAAAATCAACACTCACAAGCTTTGAATTTAAAGCCTACATTTGTCTGAAATCTATGAAAGTTGTTTTAAAAGTATTCAAAGTGGCAGATCTGTCCTAATTGGTACTTTAATCTACAAATGTACCGTGTAAAAGCCACAATGTTTGCAGGACTTAGCAAACAGCCTGTCATCACTTCATCCGATTTAATCTGGGTTAAAATGAGAGGAAACCATCTCAGATATGATGATTTACTTACTGAGTCGAGTATTAAGTGACTGTGAAAAGAAGATCATAGTGCATGAGTGAAGAGATAGTGACAGTGCAGAGTGGTACAGAGTAAATAAAGACCTAAAATACAGTTTCAGAAAAAAACAGCCGCTCATTGGAGAACCATCAGATAGCTGTAAAAATTAAAGCGACGTTTTCCGTGGGCTCTCCTAGTTAAAGTTTATCACAGCATGATCAGGAAAAATGGCAGATTTAAACATCTCTTATCAGGAAATGATGGTTATGTCTCTCTTGGCGATTACGTCATGGTTTCATTAATCGTTTCCTTCCATTTTCCACCGGGGCACCGAGTGTACACCCCTCCTCCAAGATAAGAGCAGTTTGATCATTTAGGAAGAATGTATGACCACAGCTGGCCTATGTTCAACTATCAATGGGTAATTCTGGCTGAATCCCGAACTCCTTAGAAAAATATTAGATTAAATGGGAAGAAGGACAGAGCTGCATTTGTAAATTCGATACACAGCTGGTATTAAACTCAAGAGGTTTAGAAAAGTCCGAATAATTAGAGACGCAGCCAACGGTGAGCACGTACTTTCTATGAATCATTAACCCAGGTAGGGGGAAGCTTTCATTCAGGAGGAGATCTATATTCAAGTTTAACCATGGCAACTAAAGTGCACAGAATCGGATTTCAAAGCAGCTTCTTTTTGGTCGGATACTAAAAATGTGGTCATAACATGTTTCCAGAGGGTGGGTAATAACTTTAAGGCGCCAAATCAGCATCCATTTTCACAGTCTTTGCTGAAAACACTTTTCTACAAAAAACAACAAGTCCCAAAGGGAAACAGCTGTCCAGTCGACTCAAAACAGGAGAAACTACCGGCCAAAGAAAGCAGCAACACAGACAAAACTTTAGACGAGCTCAGGGACCGACGGGTAAGTGGTTGGAGTACTCACATGGGTCTCTGCCGATGAACTGTGGCCCGGGGCTCTGCTGGGAGGGAGGGGGGTTGGGGGTGCCAACCAGTTTGTTCTTGGCCATCTTGGTGTTGGCTTTGGCGAACTCCAGCCGAAGAGTTTGGGGGATCTCCGGATCGAATCGCACCCCCTGAGACCAAAACGTTGAGAAGTTTGAGCAAAGAGTGATTGATCGATTGACCGAGAGAGTCAGAGTAGATTAAAGTTAGACTTCTGGATAAAAAAGCACGACTATCTCTACCATTGACTATCTCTACCATTGACCTGTCATGAATTCAGTCATACTGTATGTAGGAGCCTAATATGTTGCTGTGATACATATTATGAGTTGCAGTTCACTTTTGTGCCTTGGGTGTCACTGTCTTGTTATCTGGGGGCTCATGGATAAAGGTAGCCATGTCACTGTTGTGGGCAGGTGTTTGACTGTTGTGGTGCTAACTGCCGGCATTTTCCTTGTTTGTTCAGTGTTGACACCTATTGCAAAATAAATGTGGTTATGTTCATCCCAATAAATTTTTTGTATGCTGAATCCGCGGAACAGTGTACGGACTTTTAATGATCATTACAACTCATGGTAAAACTCAGTAGCGTGGCGCGTCAACCAGGTTACTCTGGGTCGAGCATCTCGGTAGCTTTAAGTATCGACTTAGCTCCTACACTGTAGCATTAAACTCTATGACAATCTACAAAGCCTGAAAAGTTAATATTGGATATTTTGATCCTCAGATGGAATCTAAATTTAGGTGATAATGATGTGCATGATCAGTCAACAACCAAAGTCCAAAGCCTCACTTCGTAATCATTATACAAACAATTGGCAACAGTCCACAGACACTGATTGCATCTCTGCAGAAGTTAATAAATATATCAGCTTGAATTTCCATTGCTGCTCTTTCATAATGCATTTTACTGTATACTTCCAGAGTTCAACACAGAGCCGAAGCACTGTCTTGAATAATTTAGGAGTATAATGTGGGTTCATGATGTGGGTATCAATAATTCCAGCCTAGTGTCTAAATTAACACTCTTTTTTTTTGTAAGGAGAGGCAGATGGTTCTTAAATATCCATGAACCCCACTTATTGTTGTCACAAGAAACTCATAATTCTTTTTTTGTTTTGATTGACAACAGCGTCTAAAAATGGCGTTGCCTTTGGTTGTCACACATTTAAAGGCTGAGCGGATTTTAAAGATCATTGAGTGGACTCTTTTTCAATGAGTGCCTCCAGGGATTTGTGGCTGACTTTATTTTTATCTTGACAGACTTAAATTAAGCGCTTTTATCAAAGAATATGCATCCTTGGCCGGTGCATGATAAAAATGGCCCTGAGTGTCTCCAGAAATGTCTCCAAAACTCAGAAAAACAGGGTTGATGGGCAAAGTAATGGATTATCTCAAACTCTTATAAATCCTTAGTCGATTTATTATTGATTATCCTATCGTTGGACACATCTAGTTACAGGTTTGGGATAGCAAATGGGGAAATAATGCAAGATTGTGTAAAAAGAGTGTAATCTGGTGTCAATATTTTGGGATGTTGGCACTTTTTAAATGTTAAATGTGACATAAATTAAGTATTACACTTTCAACCTCCAAATTTCACTTCTACCTAAAATTTAACAACTAACACAGATATTTTTCTAGTTCTTAGATGTCCCTTGTTTTTCTAGCAAGGTTACAAGGAGTTAACACCTTGGGAGGTGCCTTTGTGTCTGTGGTTTTAGTACATCACATGATGACTCTCAATGACGTTAGAAATGAGACATTGCCCCAAACAACCTGGAAAAAAAAATGAATGATTTCATTCACCACTGAAGTGATCATGTTAAAAATAAATGGGAGAAACTTATAGGCTCTCTTTCATGTGGCAGGGAGGCAATTTAGACTACTTAGAAGCTGGTACTCATGCATGACTTTCTAGTTTAACTTTCAGTTTTTGTCAAATGGGACCTGGCTAATACCTGGATGTATCAGGTGGGGCACTTATCACTTGAGCTGCAAGAGGACGTTTGAGTTTTTCCTAATAAATTCCGATAAATTTAAAGGTTTGTCTACGATGCTAGTCGAACTCTGCAACTTCGTATCAAATCTAACATCGGCCATGACACACAGCTGAAAGATGGCTGAAAATTTAAGCGCATTTCTGAAATGTCAACATAAAAAGACCAGTTATTCTCGCTTTCTGTTAAACCCGTGTCGAAAACCTCAACATGTACTCTTCCAGTCTAAATCATTTTTCTTTGTCGATTACGTTCGCCTGAGGGAAAACACAGAATGTGACATTAACAAAGGTCCCCTTCATCCAAAAACAAAGCGGCTATTTGTTTGCCTCCAAAAGCAGCAACAAGGCCGGAAGAATTCCACCAGCGACTATAAGCACCCTCTAATTAACCTCATTCGATTGTCTGTTTGAAAAAAAAAAAAAAAGAGAGGCGCAGAAAAACAGCGAGGGTCAGATCAATGATGGTTAAATAAAAAAAGGCAGCGAGGAGTGAAGTTCTCTGCAGTGAACGGGAGCGGGAAGCTGCGCTGATCATCCCTGCAGGCTCGGGCTGAGCTGAGCTGAAACAAGCGAGGGATGGCTCTTCTCATGAAGGGGAGGGAATTAACTAGGATTGCCTTGGCTCAGTGCACTCGCAGCTTCTGCCAGTGGAGGCTGCAGAGGTATAATAAGGTACATGGATATAATGAGGCCTGAGCACATCTCAGTTTGAACCGTGTTGAATCCCTCTCTTGAAACGTTTTTTAGCCTCTTAACACTTCCTTTGCACTTCTGCCTGTATTGTTTGGGTGATAATTGTTGTAGTGGTGTTTTGCTGGAAGAAAAAGCTCCTTGTGAAGGGGGAATATCGCAGAAGTACCATGACTGGGAAACAAATCCCCTCCTTCCTTTCGTTTTTTTTTGGTCTTTCCCATATTTCAATATGCAGATAGATGTTCGCAAAATCTCCATATGACCCCCGGGACGTAGCTTTCCCCGAAAAAACAAGAGCGCTGCCGAATTCTCAGCCCCACTGTGTTATTCTACGGAAACAGTCTGACTATTGTTGGCTCATAATAAGATGATAATTTTTATCTTTCTTCAACTCTTTGTGCCTTTGATGCGCAACAATATCCCAACATCTAAAAGTTGACAGAGTCTGCTGTAGTTGTCACGCTCCCTCTTACGGAGGATGATAAAGCTGAGACAAGGAGATCAACCAAAACTCTGAAGAACTTGTGTATACGTAGACAGGTTAGAACAACAATGGGAAACTGAAGCTGTGTGAGAGCGGCGCTGTCTTTGCTTTGTTTTGTTTTAAGAGGGGCTGAATAAAACCCTGAGAGGACGGGCTCTGTTTCATATTTGATTCTCCCTCATCAAGGCTTTCTACTGAGCTACTTTCTGAAATAAGCGAGATTACAATTAAACCCTGGATCAATATCTTCTATTTATATGTAGAGAAGGAGCTAATTTTCCTCCTGACCTTGCAGCCGAAGCTTTAAGAAGACGGCTTATTTACTTAAACGGATACATTCAGACATACAGTATGTAGAGCAGCCGCGATATGTTGACTTTGCTACCTTTTCTGCGTGTGAAAGGAAATGCAAAATAAAACCGTCTGGATTCGCTAGGTATCACATGCATTTGCACAGGAGGCAGACAGAGATGCGGTTCCCAGTCATCACAAGATATACAAGTGCAGAGCTGGAGCACGAAGAGGGCATGACACTTACGTTCAAGGCATTCTTAGCAGCCTCCGCCTCTGATCGACTGTCAAAGCTGACAAACCCCACCGGCTGGGGAGACAAGGAGACAGAACAAAAGAGAAAAAGAAACATGGTTTAAGGCAGAAAACTGAGTCGGCGTTTCTGTCTGGGTGACATAGACATGTTGTTCTTTTTTTTTTTTTTTTTTTACATTTTTCCCCCCATCATCTGCAACCCCCCTCTTGTTTTTTTCTGCTGTCTCCCTCTTTTTTACCCTGTTTATAAAACATTGGCGACAGAGAGGGGAAGAGAGAGGGAGAGAGTGAGGCTGGACGGACGCTTGCACGGAGAGTTCATCATTCAGCTCCCCTATGCCCAAATACGGGCAATGTGAGAGAGAGAAAGTGCATGTGAGGGAGGCAGATAGAGAGGGAAAAAGAAGACAAATCGCGAGGAGGAGGGAGGTGAGGAAAAAGAGAATGTAGAGGTTAAAGGTAAGAGAAGAAACGAAAGACAGCGAGGCCTCAGAGTGGGCCTGTCAGTGGAAAACAAAGCAATATTTTCACGTCTAATTCACTTGCGCTTGTTTTATACTCTGGTGACATCACTCTTAAACCCGAGCCCACAAAAGTAAAGGTGAAGAAAGACAGGAAAGGGAAAAAAACGACAAGAATGATGGTTTGGTTTTGCATCTACAAACAAATAATACACATTTTTTCGGGAGTAAAAAAAGGCGTGTCTGTGTGTTGATGTTGGGAGGAGAGGAGAGGAGAGGGTGGGGGAGAGGAGAAAAATCTCCAAACATGCTGCTCCCATGGGGTCACACTGCTGCGTGTGATCTGGAGAAGCAGAGCAGGGTTATGGGAATTTTGAACATGAGGGGGAAAGAGGAGGAGGAGGAGGAGAAGGAGGAGGAGGGAGTAAAGAGAAGAAACATTTAAAAAAAAGAAGGGACTAAGTGAAGACGTCAGAAGGAGTACGTGTAACAGGAGTATAAATAGCAAAAGGTCTGAGATCTGGCTCTTGCTATATATGGAGATGCTTGTGTGGAGCTCGGACTGCGAGAGAGAGGGAGATCGATTGATTTGCATCGTGTTTGTCATTAGCGAGGGAGAGTCGCTCAAAACAAAGACAGGCAGGAGGAATGTTAAAGCCCTCTGTAGGACAGGAGTAAAAGCATCAGCTGACTTTTGGCCTGAGGAAGGTGGCAATTATAAAAATATGAGGCAGGGTGAGGAGGTGCAATGAGAGGGCAAAGTGCACGAAAAGCTGCAGAGCGTCTCATTTGTTCATTACACAAAGAGGAAAAACTGCACAGAGCACATTTTGTACATTGAGAAACAGGGAAACCTGCAGTTAAGATGAAAGCTAAGGTGGCTTTAGCTGTGAAATAAGTCTGTTTTTTTCAGCAAATATTTCATGACCATCATAAGTTTGTAAACACAGTGACATTATCTATCCTTAGACTTTTCATAGTGGTGCAAAGTGTTACAGCTGCAGCCACATTTTTAGGTGCACCTGCGCATTACGGTGAAGCCTGCGGCAAAACACACACAAGCAGGATCTTCCTAGGGTAGTGATTTTTTTTTTTTCACTTTTTTTGACAGAAAATGTGACGAAATTTGGTTGTTTATTCTTATTTTCTCTCTCTGTCTGAGTTGAATATTTTCCCAGACAGAAAGACTGTTGGGATGCACCATTTTGTATGATAAATAATCAACCAGTGATCATATTATTATATTGCAATTTTTTCATTTAAGTCTCCTGAAAGGGCATCATGGAAGAGAACAGAAAGAGTTGGTTACTTGTGCCAAAATTGACAGGTATTTTTTTTTTTTGTATTGCAGGTATTTTACCAAGAATGACTCAAAAAAGCCAAAACAGTTAATGACAAAATCACTGCATCTCGAGCTCCTAACAACACACCTTTCTCCTGTGAGAGAAGAGCAAAATATTAGTTTCGACAGCATCCCGAGTTACTGTTACTTTGCAGATGTATCCTGACCTGCCCTGCATGATGTGTGCAGAGATCACACCGGGGAAACAGGGATACATCTCCAAAATTACTTGCGCTAATTTATAGACTCAAGGATGAATTAACTTAACAAGAGAAAAGACAGGTTGATCACTCTTTGTTTGCAAGCCCGGACACGGTATAATAAAGTGTAAATATAAAAAAGTCTGTTTAGTCACTAATTGGCTTATAAAAGTTTTTGACAGCATGCAACTGCAATGAAACACGAAAAAAGGGAAAGTCCCAAACTAAGCAATAGGATTTTACCACCGGAAAGAAAAAAATCATTCCTTTGTTCTTAGTTTTAGAGGTATTATACTCGGTCTAAATCGCCCTAAACCCTTCTAATGAGCTTGTCATGTCTTTATGGGAAACAGTGTAACGTGGTAATAAGTACACTGACATGAAGCTAAATTGCTCAAGTCTGGATGTGGACACCTGCCAGCTGAGCTCATTTTCAGTCCCGCGCCCCTCGAGGCTAAACTCAAGCGTCAGTTCTGCTCTTGTCAAAACGCTTTGCTTTGACACCTCAAAAATTCTTTCCCCGTCTCCCTCCTCATCCCCACACTTCCCACCGGAGTCGACTGTCTGCGACTACAAGCGTACTACCCGACTGCCAAAGGCAAGTTGGTGCAAATCTTTTCCCTTCCCTCCCCCCAAAATAAAGTTTTTTTTTTCCTATTCCAGGTACTTCCTGACAAAGTGTGCTAATCCTTCACAGTCAATAAGCCAGTAACCGCAAGAGGGAAGGAAAGGGGACAAAGGAGAGACAAAGAAATTAAAGGTGTTGATGAGCAAATGGGTGAGAAATGTCAACAGTGACAGCATTATGAAAGACTGTCTGATGCCATCATTCATTAGTTGCTTTGTATAGAAACACAGCGCTCGATGTGTCATGCAGCTCACCTGTTTGGAAGTGAGTTTTATCAAGGAGCCTTCATAGCCCTGTGAAAAGAGAGAGAAAAAGTCAGAATTGGAAAATAGGGTTTCTGTTGGTAAAAATAAAACTTGAACTTGATGGAGGGAAATATAATGTTTTAGGAAATAAGGTTGGCATAGTGTTGAATAAGTCGAAGAAAACAATAAAAAGCTGCTTTTTTATTACAAGGTCACCAATGATTAACCCTTGGTAAATATTTTTTCTTCTTACTTTGTTTAATTAATTTGTTAAATCATGTTTTAATCATTCGTTAGTGATGGTAGAGGTCTTAATTCTTTCTCAGAGCTTCCTGTTTTTTGTTTAAATATACTGCATATTCATGAATTACATCTATTAACTTTGCACCGTTAAATGCAATGTAAGCAAACTGCCAGTAGGGGGCAGCAGCAATCTAGCCATGAGAGATACCGTATTTTTCGCACTCTAAGGCGCACCTAAAATCCTTTTGGCTCGTTGGAACACTGCAGCTACCGTGGCCTTGTGCAATTATTGACTGTTTTGTTTGGCTTAATTTGCTTTATAATCCGGTGCGCCTTATGTATGAAAATAGACGCAAATAGATGCGTCATTGATGGTGCGCCTTAAAATCAGGTGCGCCTTATAGTGGGAAAAATACGGTAGTTATTTGCAAAGTTTCGATTAAATTCATGTAAATTAAAAATTAAAAAGGCACTTCCAAAGTTTTTTTCGAGTCGTAAAATGTAGTGTAAGGACATTGCCAGCAGGGGGCAACTGCAGCAAAGCTACAGTCCAATGTAAATTCATCTGAATTTATATGGACGGATCACGATACAAACTTTAATCAAGTTTTGAAAATTTTACCAACATAAAGTTTCAAAAAGTCCTTATGGGCCGTAAAATGTAGTGTGAGCACATCTCCACCAGGGGGGCGCTGTGATTTAGCTGTAGGAGACATTCGTATGAACAATAGCATAGGACAAAGAGATATTTTTCTGAAGTTACAAAAAAATTCTGAGTGAGCAAAAATACCAACAAAGGCAGGAACAGACATTAACTTTCAAGGTCTGAGCTAGGTTGTTTCTTGTTTTTAAAAGCTCTGACAAAAACCAGACTGATCGTCGTGTCTGATCTAATTAAGATTTACGACCACACTGCTCATGTTTAAAAACATGTACTTAAGAGTACATGCCATGAGCATTACTCGAAGTAGAGACAGATGCATGGCATTGTCCCATTATTCACTTAAACTGGGCTGCTGCTGCTGCTGCCACATTAAAGTGCATTATTCAAGGGCAGCGATCCAAAAGGCTCGCAGCATCTACCTTCATGTATTCACCTGAACTCAACTCCAGGTCTCTATGTGAGCCTGTAACAAGGTGAAGTTTCTGAAGTGGAGCGAATAGCTTTGTTTTTGTGTTGCAGGCAGCTGGCCATTTTTCCATGACCCACACTCATACGGACATGTACACACATACACAAACTTCCCATGGATCAAGATGTGATTGAACCTCAGCTTTAGGAACACAGACACTTGAACCACACGGGAGAGTTTCCATTGCCGTTTATTTCATCACCATTAATGGAGGTCCCATTGACTGCTGGAAAGAAAAAAGCAGCTAAGAATAGCTGCAGCCCATCCATTTAAAACATACAAACATACCTTAAATGGTCTGAACAGGAGATAGAGCTCCCGCGGCTTAATATCCAGTGGAAGCCCGCTGACAAATAGCGTTCGGACCTGAGGAAGACAGGAAGAGATCATGTATTTTTCATTAACCTCCACCAGTTATTAATAGCCACTTTGAATACATGACAGGTACAGATGAGGTAATGAGGGAAAGGACACTGAGCGTGGGTTAAATTGTTCTCCGGGTTGGCTTTACACTCAAAGATAGACTTTTCACTCCTTGATAAGTATGTGTTTCAGCCCGGCAAATACACCTGCACACCCTATCAGACACACACCTCCTCACAGCGAGCGCATTGTGTTCTCCCGTGTAATCTACAGCCTGCTGTGTTTTATGGCAATACTCCCTCACAGCTCTGGCCTCTGTTTTACATTTGAACTTTTCAACTTGCAACTTGAGCTGGCGTTGCTGGGGAATTACAATGTATATGCTGGTGGAGAGAGACTAAAAGAGAATTTAATTGTCGAGGTCCGCACTGAGTCAGAGAAGGTGGAAAAAACCGCAGCGGGAGTAACAGGAGAGAGACTACAAATGTATTTTCAGGCAAAGAAGTTATCGCTACTATGGTTGTTGATAGACAACAAAATGACAGGTGTAGTGCAGTGAAAATTTAGGGTTGTCAAAAGAGAGTTTTCAGCTGGAAGCTTTACTTTCAGAGGGAAAAATCTCAATGTTCAATTATTTTGAAATCACAATCTAAAGCCTATATTTCAAGTTACAAGTTTCACCTCTGTCCTCAATCTCAACTCTTGAAGATAAAAAAACTGGATGACATTGGTGGGTTTGAGATACACGGGGTGTGCTTTGTGCGGACAAATGGGATAAAGTTGAAATAAAGCTTGGAAACTTTGGGTAAACGGTGCAGCTAACACTGTATTTCTTCAAGCCTGCTTCTTATATAAAAATATATATCTGTGTGCATCTGAAAGTGTCATGTATAACTTTTAGTTTCTAAATGGCTACTTAGCACATCACTGTATTTTTCTTAAGTGTTGTTGACTTCAGGGAGTTACAGCATGACCACCTGCTGCTAGCTGGGGCAGCAGCTCCAGTACTTTTGTTATGCTTGAGTGTTGTGCTGCGCAGGTGTAAACAAAAATGCTGTAGCTCTGTTAGAGTTACTTCCATCCTGTCTCAACCACCAGAGGAACTTTCTCTCCACTCTCTCTTTCTTTCTTTATCCTCTTGTGATGCGAACATCTATTACAGAGGACAGTAGTCATCAAGCTATAATGTGTCACTGGGCTGCCATGTAGCTTGTCATACTACCTCTTCTGACTGAGTGCTTCCTAGTGGTACAGATTGTACTCATTTAACTGGGTTTCTCTTGTAAATAGAAGGAAATAAAAAAGAGATAGTAATAAATACATGCTAATTTGTCATAAAAATGGAGCCACCAGTTTGGGAAGCAAAGCAAAATAAGTAAACAGTGGAAAGATAAGCGTGAAAACTAAAATGAAACAAGGAGCAAGCACTATGTGTGCATGCAAACCAAACCTGGACATGAGTCAGCTAAATGAGCGCGTTACTTCTGACATAACTCTTTGGTAAATCCCAAGATCGTTATTGTTGTGGTTTCAATATTACAAGAGGCAAAAAGTCTGATTTCTGGGTTTATTTTTACACACACGTCTGTGTTAGCCTGTCAAGTTACACAATGAGTAACCTGTCTGCCGTCTCTACGGAAGGTTTGTGTGAACAGCGGCAAATCTGTCAACCAATGAGACACATTAACACCAATGGCAACCTCTAGTCAACACAGACACAGCAGCACAACACAACACAGGTGCTGAGGCGTCCAGTCACAACGTATGAATGCAGATCTGGTTACATTTTAAGAGGGATGAAACGGGGAAGTTGTTACATGTAATCATAGATGAGTCTGCGCTTTATAAAGACTGGGGGTTGATTTCTTTTTATAGACGACAACATTTGTTTTGTGCTAACGCGACAGCTTATATTTTAGTGCTGTTGAGCTTAAATAAACTGCCAAGACGTGAAATATCCTCACTATTCTTGATGAAGTGACACCAAGACATCTGAGGCAACACAACAGACAGTAATCACGCCTCATACCTGAAATTATCATATAATTAAAGTTGATGTGATACAAGAGAATAATTACTTTGGCGCACAAGAGAAATCGCAAAATCAAACAATAGACTGTGCATCAGAGCAACTCCATTTCACACACCCACATCAATACCATGATAGCGCATTTGGAAGGATAATTGAATTATCTGAAATTGTGATTCAATTAAGGCTGAATTTTGGATAAAATGGTAGGCATGCATTACACACAGCCGATTTCAAGGTCCCTAATTCATTGAGTCGAAGATTCACAACTCGGGAGACAAAGGAACTGCTGAACCAACACTACACCTCATTCCCACATGTAACCTGATCCGCACCACTGATGCCAAAGGCAGAGCAGCACACAAACAAAGAAGCTTAGCAACTGGGCGAGTGATGGCTGGAGAGTGCCAAACCAGCCATCCAGCCAACAAATCTCACCTTGACGACTTTCTCACCTTCACCTCTTATCTTATCTCATCTGAGATGAGCTGTACCCCCCGCGGGGATGTCACTGGGCTCTGTCTCTGGCTGTTATGTTTAAGTAAACTCTCGCAGAGGGTCTCCTTATACGGAGTCACCCGGGAACAAAGAGTCAGGACAGGATGGTATCAATCAGACACAAGCAAGGCCAGTCACTGACAGCTGCTGAGCAAGATTAGACTAATGGAGTGGTGGTAAAACAGACAGCAGGAGTCAAAACAAAGGGTAAACGACAAATCCAATAAGGTGTTTAAGTTGGAAACCCAATCTGACAGAAATAACTACAAACTATATTCAATAAATGCTAGAAATAATTACTTTAAAAATGTATCACTTAAAGCAGCGGTTCTCAAGTCCAGTCCTCGAGGCCCACTGTCCTGCATGTTTTGGATGTTTCCCTGCTCCAACACACCTGATTCAAATGATGAGCTCGTTATCAAGCTCTGTAATGGCTTAATAACGAGCTAATCATTTGAATCAGGTGTGTTGGAGCAGGGAAACATTCAAAACATGCAGGACAGTGGGGGCTCGAGGACTTAAAGGATTGAACATTGGCGAACAAATATTTTTCATTTCTTTAAATTTCTCAGTTTTAGTGTTTTTTTTCATGTTTTGCACTATCCACCCAACCTATAGTATTATTAAAGAAACTTTTTATGTTGTCTTATAAAAATATATAAAACTAGTCCTGGGTTTTGTTATGTTATTGACTGATCCTGCAATTTTTTATGCCCCTGTAGATGACAAACAGGACCCTGTTTGTAACTGGCATTATCTTCAGATCAGGGTTATTTGACTGCAAGTAACTGGCCTAAACTCCATGTGAAAGCTCATCAATGCATTATTAATGTAATACTTGTATTATTTTAGGATAGAAATGCTTATTATATGTCCAGTCTTAGCTGAAGCAGAGCCCCATCCATTAGCCAGAGCTGCTACCTTGGGTCATGGCTTCTGGCACCATGTTTTAATGCTCTACTACCTTCATGTAAACAACCTCAGATGAGTGGTGGCATCTTGTAGTGTGGTTGTGTTCACTGCAATAAGGCTGGTGGTGCCAGCACGCAACTTCGACTATGTGGAAATTATTAGCTGTTTATCGGAAACTTTGCATTTAAAGGCAGAAAATTCTGTCACATCCTGCAGAAGAGATCATTATGTCCACTTTGTTTCCCATACTAATATTCTGGTTTTTTTTGAGAAATGTTATGCAAATAAGACTAATATTTGTAATTTTATTGGGCAATAAATTCCTAAATATGAAAACTGGATTTCATAATTAAATAAAGCTGCAAGATGTCTCAAATATATTTCTTCTTAAACAGGAAACTGGTGCAAATCAAGTCCTCTAACTCTCCTTCGTCAAGTCACATGATATCTCATCCCTGATTTGACTTTTGTCCTCTAAGAGATACTTGAGATCTGGACATGCAGACACGCAAAACAATGAGTCCTCTACACGCTCCGAACAATGGCACATTCTTGGCTGTGTCGGACCTCATTCCTGAGACTTCCTGACGTCGACTGTTGTGATATATGATCGTCTTGCCGTGTGTCCGTCCGGTTGTGGAGCTGACTGCTCGCGTCGGATGAGGGATGACTCACAGGCAAACGTGTCATCGGCTCTCTCCTGCAGACATCTGCCATTGATTACAGTATCAGCCTTTATTTATGTTGCTCTGAGAAGACTCGCTCGAAAATAGGCAGAGTTGTAAATGCTGAGCAAAGAGAGGAGTTTCACGATGCTGTAAACTGCACCGAAGGTCGAGGCAAGGGTTAGGAGGATTCTGCGTATTCATAAACTCTCTGCCATTGTTTTATTGAGTTTTAGGGGCACCGTTTTATCGTTTCTATTGTGAGTCACATACCTGCATTTCCATAGTGCTGCGACGCCTGCTATGGGCCTTTGAATCATTGACCATTTATGGCGTGCTTGCACACCAACAAGAAGTCAGGCTGCGATCAAAAACAGCAGTCCCTACCTACAAGAAGCCAGCTGAGCACCTCACAGCCGGCTACCAGCACAGTTCCCTGGCAACGCCTTAGCGGAGCACAGCAGAGCGTGGAGCCCCGGGCCAAAAACATCAGATCCTATTAAGGCCACTTCTGCAGCAAATCCCAGGGGATCAATGCACCTCTAATCAGAGATCCTTGACTCCACAAGCAGTGGGTGAGGTCATCACCTTATTGATACTCTATCATTGCACCTGGAAGGTTTGTTGGTGCCACCCTTAGACTGGAGAGGGAGGGGAGGGATCTCCTCTCATAACAGCTATTAATGACCGTATCGACGTATCAACTCGAAGAACAAACTCTGCTGTATCATCACTTGGGTCTAACTTACAGAGATGACTCTTCCTCGAATGATAACAGCTGAATACTATTTTCATAATTTTGTTTGTTTTTAGACATTTGGTGGTCCAAAAAGTGAGCAAAATACACTGTGGCTCCCTAGATTCCAAGGTGAAGATATTAAACTTTTCATTAACCTTTTAAAATTTCAAGATTTTGTTTTCTCTCTGTGAGAAAAGTGCAAGATCTACAACAAACAGATATTACCTTACTATGGCTGCTTTAACATCCTGTTGGCATATATAGTTCTATCTAATATCTCTATAGTCTAATATATTTTATGCCTGTAAAGTTAGCCAGTTATCACTTCAAATCGACTCAGGAAACACAAGACTATGTTGTTTAAGAATAGCTGTTTCATATTGTGTTGGTTTGTGAAGCTTTTGTGGCTGTTTTGTGTCACTTCTTGTGTTAATATGTGTTCCTAAGTTATCAGGTGTTTCTGGTAGCGGTGCACTTTGACTCACAGTAGCTTCGGCAAAGATTATCATTCTCATAAAGTCCAGACATGACAAGAATATGGACTCCGTGTGGTTATGAAATAGACTGAAATTGCAAAAAAGCAAATGAGTGTATCCCCATAAAGTTTGGGTATTTTGATAGAATTACTGTCATAGTTAGAAACAGCTGCCAAAAAGTATGTGTGAGGGTAAAATCGTGTAAAATTTAAAAAGTACCACTGAGTTAAAAGGGTGCAAAATCAACTCAGACTTGTTCCCTACATTAGCTTTTAATATTCTGTTTTATCCGTCTACAGTTTTATTGTTCTTTTTTGGTAAATTCAGTGATAAAATGACTCACAAGAGGCTGAATTTTCACACCACACATCTTATGACCGGGGTTTCAACTATCAATGATTGTTTTTAATCAATTAATCTTTCAGACTACTTACAAAAGAAATTCATTCACTGTTTAGTCTTTGAAATGGCAAAAAAAAGTTGTTGAAGATGGTTATCATAGTATTGGCAGTGGGGGGAGGGGAATCTTTAATTTACAAGAGGACTTCTTTTGTCAAACCAGTGAATCAAATCTAAAAATATTTGATGAACAGAAACAAATCCTTACTCTTGAGAAGATGAAAAAATTTGTCTGATATCTAAACATCATTTTTTGTTCAAAATAAGTGAAATGTTTATATTTGTCAAATAGTTTTTTTTTGGCAGCTTCACATGTGCTAAAGATTGGGTGGCAGTAAAACAATGGATTAAATAATGTAACAAACATGCTGCTAAATAAGGAAGACACAGATATTGAAAAAAAGGGCCTCGGAGAAAGGATATTCAACCTCTTAGAGAATCACAGACACCCTAAACACACTGACAGATCATCTAGACCACTTACTCTGGGTATAAAACCAAAAGTCAGAAAGAATCAATAATTATAATAATATTGTAAAAATGGACAGTCCTGTAGTGGAAGATGGTTGTCCGCCAGTGAGTCTGGTTCTGCTCAAGGTCTCTGCCTTGCCAGGTAATTACTCAATGTTGGGTTTCTGTATGTGGTATTCAAAATGGTACGGTTTTTTAACCTGGTTTTGATAGTACTTGGGGCTATAAAAACAATATTTGATCAACTGACTTGATTTAAAATAGGATATAAATGTCAATGTCTTCTTTGGATAACTTCTTTCAACATATTACTGATGTTTTTTAACCTCTTAATAAGCCTGGCTGACCTTAAGAATTGTTTCTTCCCGTTTGCTTGTCTGAGAACAATACAAGCATCAAGTTTCATACAAGTTTGATTGCTCATGTTTCTCCCTTCTCTATTGAAATCCTATCCACTTCACTCAAGAATAACACTACAGAAAGGGAAGAAGACAGCCAAACCTGAAAAATAAGATCCAAGTTGTAATGAACCAAAATGATCTTTAAATGAACCTGATGAAGAAGCAAAATTACAAAGAAAGATAAATTTAGAAATGAACATCTGATGCTAAAAATACCGGCCAGGGGACATGATTTTTCTTTTTTTTCCTACTTCAATCCTTAAAGTCATGTTCAGTAAAAATCTCACAAGTGTGAAACAATGAGACCAACCCTCCACTCAAGTATGAGATGTCATGACGCGTCAAACAAGCACTGACTGACTGGAGCACCACTGAAAACTTGCATTAAGGCATCTTAATTTCTCTCCAGCACAGAAAGCAATTTGTCAGCTGTTATAAAAGCTGCTTGATTTGTCTAATTAAATGTCCTGGCTGCTTGTTCATGTGTCATTTCTATTCAGCTTGCATCGCAGACTTATAAAATCTGTAACACCTATTGCCTGAAATGCCTCATTATACTCTAGGTGACTTTCGGAGATATTTGCCCTGACTTTAATTGAGAGCTTTTTTGACCGTTCATTCCTGGCTGAAATGAGGGACATGACCTTGGCGCGATGTGAGATGATTACTATGTGTTTCGGTGTGTGTGTACGTGAGTGTGTGTGTCCGCCAGCCAAGTTATTAGACAGAAGGCCTTCGACCCAGATGTGGCAGGACGAGGCTTTAACCTTGAAGCCTTCAAAGAGAAAGGAAAGTGGCTTATTGTAATGCGTTTGTGCCACAGGCTGGTTAAATAAATGGACGGTGCTACATCCCCAAAAGTGAAGCCAGAGCATTAAGCTAGCTGGCTGCAGAATGGGTTATAAATCCTGTTCCCCCCCATGTTAACAGATGGGGCATGGGTCAAACTTTGTAATCAAAATGCACTCCAAGGAAGTTTTTCTCTTACATGGTTTAGACCATTATTTTGTCCTTATCACACTGATTTATGCACACTTGTAAATTTTCCTGAGAGGTTATGTTTTAACTTCTGTAAAATTCAGAATAAAAACTGCAATGGAATACAAGATATAGTCTGTTTTTTTGGAGGGAAAGGGTTTTAATGATGGCTTTATTAATAACAATGTCAATTTAAAACTGGGAAACTCAAATATTTCGCAGAACAAATGTTGGCTATGAAGTCCTATTTCAGCCCTTTTAATAGTGAAGAAAACCAAGGTATGTATCAAGATCATTCTCCTGTTCGGGATGTTTTGCGGAACCGTCTGATTTGAAGCCTTCAGAGTGAACACAGTTTGGCCTTTGCAAAACAGGTGGTGTCCTTGATAAATCAGTAGCTGTTTATCGAGTATGCATATTCTGCAGCAGCAGCACAGCCAGCTACCCCGAAGTAGATCAAATCTAAAACTCCTGATGAAAAGCAGCATATCCCCACACTTGGAAAGAAGATAAAGTCTAAGGCATCACCAGCAACATTACTCAGACCCTCACAAACAGCTGAAGCTATCAAGACATCCATTGCTAGATTTATCTGTGAAGATATGGGACCATAATGACCCATGATCCAAAGTTTAGAACTGAGCTTATGTTCACCCTGCAAAGCACTTTGTGCTTTGTGCGCATGCGGGTCACTTTACAGACGCATTCCATTCACATTAGATGCCGCATTCGTTGTTGTAATGCGAGCAACGGCACAAAAAGATCGGATTTAACAAAAATCCGAATTGTGCATCATAACCTGCAGTGTGAACGTAGCCTAAGATACAGCATACCACACCCTAACAGGCAGCTTCAAAGCTGTCATTTTCCTAAGGTGATTGAGGGGCCATCACAGAAAATGGATGGATGTCATGATCAATCAATGTGTGTGTGACGATCATCACCCAACATACTGATCTGACAGTAATATTAAAAGTTTTGTTTAAATCAGAGTTTGGAATAGTTTGTTCTGGTAAAAAACAACAACCTGACCTTACCCTAATTGCATTTTCCAAGATACAAGGATAGTTATTAAGCATGTGTTTAAATGTTTCAATAAAAGTATTCATTCATTACTCACAGAATCATATTGCATGTTCAAATAATCCAATATGGTCCTTGTATTGAATAGCAAACCATCGTATCTTGGCTTTAGTATATTGTTTAAATCAGAAAATATGAACAACTACAAAAGTGTTGACCTGAGGGATTTTTATCGTTCTTTATTAATGTGAAATCTGCATCTCTGTAAGCGTGTCGCGTGAGACATTAATACTTCCGCTGCACAAGCTAAATCCTTTTGCACAGACTCTGACACTAAATATCATCACCTGCACCCCAGAAGTGGATTTTGGTTTCACTTTTGACTCTAGCAGTAGTCACACTGTCCATCGTTTTATACAGTCCAAACCAGAAATAGCTGAGAAGAAATATTTAATTGCACAAGTTGCTTCTAAAGTCTTGGTTCAGTGTGCCCGATCTAGAATCAAAGTCTACCCATAAGCCTGCATGAGCTCAGGGCAAGTTGAGTTTTCTTGCATCAGTTGAGCGCTGCGTTATTAAAAACAGTCTAACTGACAGACTCCCACACTCCTCTGCTATCTGACTTGTCACTGCTCAGTGCTGGCATCGCTCTCCATCATCCTCGCAAGGTTTTTTTTTTTCTTTTTTTTTTCATCTTCTGTGTCAGCGAATGTGAGGAGTGAGAGATTGCAGGGCCTCAAGAGGTGTCAAACGACCCTAAATGGATGACTCCGTTTGTCTGTTAATCGCCAGACTTTGAAGGGTCCGGTTTCACGTACAAGGTGAGAGGTCACGGGTTAGGCACGGGGCATTGTGCGGGTCAAGGGTCAGCTGTTGAGGTTGAGCACAATCCAAACATCGAGACTCGACTTTGTTTGGAGTTTCTTCGTTTTTCTGTCTCTCTCTCTCTTTGTCCCATAAGTGCTTTTGAGCAACAATTACGGCTCAGTGAGGGCCTGTAAATGTTCCAACAGGTTAACCTTTAAAAGACATTTAAAACAAATGACCTAGGAAAGGCAAGCAAGCGCCCACTTCACCGTGTTTTTCCCCCTGCTCTTGCTCTTTTCTTCCTCACACTTTAACACTTTCCATTGTTTGAAACGTAGACTGGAAAAGACGTCACAAAAAAAAACCCTCAAGGTGTTATTTAGATGTCGTCGAAAAGAGCGACTTCTTGGCTGTCAGCTCAGAGTTCATCAAAATCCCTCATAGCAGCTTGCTCTCTTCTTCCTTTCTCTTATCTGATGACTCCTGGTGAATGGACTTAACATTCCTCAGCGCTCATTAACGTGAACTAATCGGCCAAGTCCTCCCCTGCCTTTTCCTGGACTCCCTTTTGTTGCCGCCTGCCCGAGTGGACACCTTACACTGTTTGGTTTAGAGGGTTGGGTGGGCAGAGGGTTAGAGTGTCCCGAGCAAGTGGAGACAAAAACAACAGCAGATACTCGGTCATGCTTTGTGTCTACACGAGGAAACGTAAGCCTTCTGCTAATATGTTCCCATTATATGCAGCTGTTCCTCATTGTGAGTCGAAGTGACGGCACTTTAAGTTCCCATTTATAGGACTGCCAATAATGATTATTCACTCTCAACTTTGACACTTCGGGACGCATGTTTCATATCTTTAACTCCACTTAATGCTCAACTTAACATCTTAATTTGTAATACCTTTTAAATTAAACTTCAAATTCTTTCAGTGATTTTGCCTGTTAGAATCATTAAGTATTACTGACTTATCCACAGATAAACTGACTTTCAGCATCAAATACAGTTCAATTAGAGATTTGTTTAAGGTTTGAAGCAAGACTACACACTTAAAAAGGAGTGAATCATACAATTTAAGTCCCAATAAGAAGATAAAATGCATACTTTTGAAGAATCTGGTTCCCTACTTAGAGTTACTTCTCTTGTATCTGGTTTTTATTAAGCGTATGTGGTGTTTAGAGCGTGTTTATGATCCAGCTGTGATCTATTGGCTTAAACCTCATGATAACAGTGATAAAGAGCGACAAAAAGGGCAACACTTTCACAGCATTTCACCTCCACTTTTGCTAAACACAAAGTAGACATGTTTTAATGCGAAATCCTGTCCTGCAATCCAGGCAACGGCAGAGACAGGAGTGGAGTAATGACAAAGAAGTCAACATGAATATTCCTGCACAAGTCCTGCTCACCTTGTCGAACATTACCTCCGACCAATTAGCAAGCTAATGTTTCGAATTTAATGTGAATTAACATGTTTAGCTTCATGTTAATTTTCAGCTCGAGTAGACTGATACGAATCTGTCGCTAAGGAAACGTTATTAAGTGTTGCATTAGCTGAATCGTGAATGAGCAGGAGAATATAGAGTGAAAGGGGGTGGTTATGCAAATTAGAATCCCTGCAGGGTGAGTCAAGATCATCCTGCTTCATGTCAGGATTCAAGTTTGCATGACCACCCCTTTACTTCACACATTAATCCTTGTGTTCATATGTTACCTCTGCCTTTTGCATGCAAAGACGATAAAGTATTTCCTTTTTTTGATTGAATTCTACACAAACAAAAGAACTAGTAGCTTTGGGATTGTGAGACTATTTTTTAATAATACTAAAAGTTGCTGATTAATCCATCAATTTAAAAAGCCATCAGCTAATCTCTCCCATGTTGAACTGATCACACTACACCAGAATGAAGACAATCTGGATTACTACAATGGGGACTTTTCTATGATCTGGATTGACAAGAGAGAAAGCTAATCTTCTTTTCCTGGTAAGCATAAAATTCCAGTCAAACAACAGACAATAAAGCTATTACTCGGCTAATCCAAAAGGAGCTTACTAACAGGCTTTTAAAACTTATCAACCACCTTTTTAAGCCAGTCTTGAGTGGTTTGGCCGTGCATGGCTAACTCTCGCTGGCCAGCCAAAAAGGCTGTGGGCACTCAGTTGTCCAAGTTCCCCCTGGTTACCGTTCTGCCTGGCTCGCTTCTGTCTTTAGGACTCTTCCCATGACCATAAAAGGCCCTTCTGTCAAAGATTTCAGGGTCATGCTTTCAACGTATGGCGTGATAAGGGATAAGAAGTCCGTCTACTGGGACGAAAACGGGCAAGGGAGTGAGTGAGAGCCGGATGAAGAAAGAGGGAGCGGTAGGAAAGAGTAGAAGAAGAGTGGCAAATCATAAACAGTACCAGGGCGTAGGGAAAGAGGGAGGAAACGGCTAAAGAACAAGATAAAGAGGGAAGAAAAAGAGCAAGAGGGAGGAGGAAATGGAGAGGAAGGGAGATAAGTGTATAGAAAGGGAGTAGGAGAAGACGGGTAAGGAACAGTGAGCTGAATATGAAGGAGAAAGAGAAAGGGGGCTCATTTTGGAGATACTAAGGTGGATAATTATAGCTTGTGAGTAAGCATAATCAGTGGAAGTGACACATAAATACAGTATGACAAAGCAAGACAAGATGGCCGATGCTGTCTCGGCACAAACTCACACTTCTTCCGCTTGTGTAGTGAATCATTAATTACAAAGCAAACTGGAGGATGACAACTATGGCCTTTAAAGGAGAGCATATGAGAGACTTCACTCCTCAATCCTGGTCAGTTTTTATAGTTTATATATAGCTGAAGATATAAATATATATTCAAATATCTCGAACAGTTCCTTATCTGATTCCTTTGTTTTTTTTTCTCTCCTCACATCAGGATCCTTTGCCAGCCGTTCCTGACGCTAAGCCTTGTTGTTGTCTTTTCAAATACCTCTTGTCGCGCAGCTGACAAATGGCTAAGATAAGATGACAATTCCCTGTGCGCTTTTATAAATAAACTCCCACCTATCAGACAGAAAGCAGCAGCTAGGTTTTAGTTGTGCGTGCTTTTCACCGTGTATATCTCAAAGTCTTAATCTACAGTAAATCGCCTCTTCTATAAGCCTGTTCATGGCCACTTTACCCCCTGAGCTCCCCTCTGTTAACGTTTCATGTCACAGAGCGTTAATACATCTGCGTGCCCTTTTCATAGATACATGCACAAAAGCACGGACCACACACATGCCCACAGCAAGTGTGTTACGGACCGACATGGCCTCCCTCCGCTTCACTGTGCTTCTCCAGCAGCACCACACCGCTCCCCACCTACGTCTCCCCACGGAAAAGGTCACGCCGGCCACATGACCCGCTATTTGAAGAGGAACCCGGTGGATACCCAAAGCCGGCCAAGCACAGTCCAATTACACCCCAGGGAGACACGGCGCATTTGCTGAACTCTGCTCGAGTGATATTCTGTTTCTCTTCGGGCACTTGTAAAGATCCACTTACATGTTTATGAACGGCCGAGAGCTAGAATCAACAGATGTTTTACGAGGTTCAAACTCCTGCCTAGCTGTACAAGACGGACAGATTTACAGTAGCTACGACGACAATGACTACGATTTCAAATTGAAGACGAAGTATAAAACAATAAAAGCGCAGGTGCTTTCTGCTCACTCATTTGTCAAAAACAAGGTGTAGTTCGAAGGTAGACCTCCGAGGTAGAGGAGGCTGCACAGGTCTCCACTTAAGTAAACACAGGTTAGCTTGTGGGAAATTGACAGCAAAGAGGTCAAAGGTCAAGCTTGGTCGGCTGACTTGGTTAGCTATGATGCATTCCATGTACTCACAACCTGCACTGCCTGTTCTCACCCCTCCCTCTCCTCTGTCAGTGCCTCGCATCTCTGCCTCATCTATTAACCCAAAACAACCATCTGAAAAATCATTATATTATAATTTTTATTAATCTGAGATTTTGTCAAACTTCAAGCATACACTCTCATATAGTTGCTGCTTATTCTGTCAATTCCATGCATGGTTCAATGTATGAAAAGGGAAAATTTAAGGACAACAAAAATGATTCCAAATTTGTAAGTATAAACTTGTCAAGTTGAAGTGTATAATGTCATGAATTTGAGAAATTTAGGTCACAAAATTAAAACTGTTGTGACTTATTTTGTAAATTCTTTATTTTTTTGTCAATTTTTTTTATTTGGAACTTTTTTCCACTTGATTATTGTAAACTTAAAGCTCCTACGTCGAAATTTAAGTATTGATTTATTTCATTGCCTCTCTGTCATCTACATTCAGGAACTATTCCAAGAATCTCATCCTGCTGACTTTGGACAGTCGAATATGTCATGTGTAATGAATATTCTGTGTATAAATGTAAAGTCTGGGCTGTTTCCTCAGCTGCTCAGCTGACTCCATCCCCTTCTCACATCCCTTTCAGGCATTTAAAATTACAGAATCTTCAATCTTCAATCTTGTCCCTAATGTTGTTTGCTTCAGTGTGATAAAAAAGGCATCAATATGAGTTTCAGTCTTTTTAATCTCAACAGTTAATTGATTTTCATTAACTTAAGACTGTTTTGATACATGACTCTATTCAAATGATAATACAACTCTTTTATCAACTTTATTCTTATATTTCAATGATCAATTAAATTTCATGAGTGTTTTAATCAACTAAATTTTCTGAATTTAAGACTTTTATCTCTTATCAGTTTATTCTTACAAATTCATATCAATATATGACTTTTTTAAAACTATAATAACTTCAGTTTATGCTTTATCCTGTTTCTGACTTCATTCTCATATATTTTATCAACTTTGGTTTTGCATTTTTACAAGGGAAATGAGTTTTTTTTCAGCGATGTAAGATTTTGTTGTTGTAAATTTGACTTTTTTGCACAACTTTGCTCTTGAAAAATTTTAGTTTCTTCATCTTCCTCACTGTGGCCCTAAAATTTTGTCTTTCTTTTTAGATCCTACAACGAGAAAACCTTTTTGTCTAATGGTAAAGTTTACAGTTATAAAGGCAAAAATTAACTCAGATATGATAAAAATGTGGGCTTTGCTTAATGAATGCGGTCAGTATTGATTTATCTAATGATTATGTTTAATATCCTATGAATAAAAAGGCCATTGTCATTCTCTTACAGATATAATTTTGTTTTCTTCCAATGACAGATTGGAAGGCCACTAGCACCTACACTACTACATAAAACAGGCCAATGTTTTCTTTTTTTAACCAAATATTTAAACCCTGTTTTGTTCCAGTTAAATCCTCTAATCTAAGCATCAGTTTGGCCTTTAAGTAAGTAAATAAAATCTTGATGTAATAAATTTTTGGTCAGCTGTTCCTTCACTGCATGCACTGTCAAAATATGTTACCTTCCTGATAACACAAACATGTCTGGAGTTTGTCACCTCACCTCCGTCAGCATGAATATGCATCAAAAAGTTCACACAAACATGTGCAACTGTACTGTTTAAAGTAAAGCCTCCGCAGATCACGTTTTTTTTTTTTCCTGTAGAAATCAAACCTACTTAAAGCCCCCCTGCAGGTCTTTTGTCCATGTAAGGCGTGGAAACCACAGCTGCTCAAAGCATATCTTAAACATCCAGCACACAAGAGTCAGTCTGTCACCTCTGCTACATCAGCGGCCGCTGAGTGCCACAGCATGTGAGAGCCTCCAGAACACCTGATAATGAAGCTTATCAAAACCAGCCTGCTAGATTAGATGCTGCCATGAGAGGAAGGGGAGGAGGGGGGTTTCAACCTGCATACCTCGCCTGAGACAGCACCATGTTTGGTAAGCTTTGGTTTACATTAAGCATCGGCGAGCTTTGGTTTACAGTGATGAAGGTCGAGCAATGAAGCAAAGCAAGAGCTCGCTACGCCGCTTTACTGGTGCGAATCAGTGATCCATTGAGTCACATACTACACTGTGCAGAAAGAAGAGGAGGAGGAGGAGGAGGAGGAGGAGGAAGAGGAGGAGGGGAGGAGGCAAGGGGGGGGGGCTGCTGCTCGGCATGTGAGAGTCATACCAGAGGTTGTTAAACTTTGGCTCTCATAAGGTCATCGTTTATGGTTAGTTTAGTGCTGTTTAGCGTTTTACTGTAACAGCTACCGTGATAATCATGAATCTTTCTGCATGAAAGACTCAGACAGAAAATGTGGTGCGGGAAGACCTGAAAGAAAAAGTTGAAACTGAATGATGAGGTAGTTTGTATTCTACTTATTTTCTCTAAAACTCTAACCTTAATGAATCATGTGGAAAAAGTACGAGCCATACTCAAAATTTATGACATTACTCTTAAGTCAGTGAATACACACCTGCCTGCAGAAACGCCTTTTGTATACACCAGTGTGGATGTCTTGCCTCTTTACACACATCATTACACAAAAGACAAAGTGGTGCTCTCTAACATTACATTAATTCACCAGAGTAAATTTACATCCCTGCCAGTCTGGGTGGCTTCCAAACGTTTCTACAACCATTAAGAATCCTCCAGCCATTACTCTTTCTCCGTCTCTGTCTGCTTTTTACACAAAACCAAAAAAAAAAAACATTCCTCTCGTCTGATCACGCTGTCTATGACCACAACTGATATCAAACATAAATTTGGTTTACGCATTTATTTATTAAATAAAGTAGCGCTGTAATTTATGACGATTATCTATAATTCTGGACTGATTATGACGACAAATCTGCTTGTTCAACTGTACCGAGCCGTCACAGCTTTGTTCATAGTACACATTGCTCATTTTATTTGATGACCGAAAAAATTTATGATGTGTCATGTAAAACAAAGAAAAAGCAGCAAATCTGCACATTTATGGAAGTAAAATCCCATAATTTTGTTTTGATTCCCTGTATAATCAATAGCAATCAAAATAGAGGTCGTTTTTTTTGCCTTATCTTTTAATTGTAGTGACTTTAAAACTAAGCTGTTGGATATAATCATGACTAATGTGCAAAGCTAAGAAATAAGTCAAATAACTTCCTTGTTTTGTTCGATGGTAAAGAGATAAGTTTCCAACTACAATGCTAAGAAGGGTGTAAAAACTGCTTGTTTCGCAAAATGTTTCTCTTAAGGCTGAAAAAATTGCTAAATTTCCTCTTCCGTGTTCTCAAGATGTGAAGATTTGCTGCTTTTATCCGTTTGTGTGACTTCATATTAAAACAAAGCAACATTTCCTGCTGCTACTCTTCCAAAACAAGGCGTTAAGTACACACACCCAAACCAAAACTGTCTATCAGGTTCCCAAGAAGTCAGTTTTCCTCTGCACAGTACACTCACTCATTCATTCACTCACTCACTCTCTCCATCCAGCCTCAGCAGCAGTGGACCAAATATGGTGTTACATCAGTCCAGCGTTTGGCTATTCAGTTACAAACTGACGAACACAACACCGAGCCTTAATCAAATTGCTCCAAGAGAAATATGCGATATAATCTGATATACCTTTCTTACATCACTCGGTCGCGGATGTGTGGAGCTCTGAAATAACAAATCTGTCCTTTGCATAGAGATGTTTCCACGCCAAAGAAAATCACCTCACGCAAAAAGAAAAAAGAAAGAAAAAAGAGAGAAAATCTAAGAGGGAGATGTTATGGATCTCTGATTGTGCAATGTTTACAGTGAAGAAGAGAGGAGGAAATGCTGGGCTATTATCCAGCATGTTAGAGGGGTAATGAATTACCTCACTTTTCTAGACAAACAACATCATTCTGGTGTGTTAAGGCGTAATTAAGTCATTTCGACAGAGAGGAGACTTGCTTGAGTGTAATGCAGTGGGTCTCTGCTACAAAGAGTTATTGCCTTCATGTTGCAGCAGCAGATATTTGAACACTAATTCAACCCCTGGCTTAGAAATCCCTTAAGCAGTGGTTTTAGGTCTTGTGTGAAGTTTGGTTTTATGGTACAGTAAGCAAGAACTAACAACACTTAAGTTGTTACTGCTGGAAAGTAACTTGTTATCTGACAGAAAGACTCATTAATCAATATTAAAGTATTTTCCTGTTTTCTTTTTGTTCCCTTACTGTGAGTTTTTTAAAGCTCCTGTGAGGAACTTTCAGTGCGTGGCGACTTAGGCGCCCCCTGTGGACATAATGGTAATTTGCTGATTTTGTCCGATACAGGTATAAAGCCTGGTTTATACTTCTGCGCTGACTCTACGCCATAGTGGCTGACATCATTGTGAGTATTGCATACAGTGTCGCACTGCAAAACTAGTAGGCGTTGTGATTTTTGCTAATCACAGATTATGTCGTTCTCTAGTTTGCGTACAAGAAACCATGGCAACTAAATCCGAGCTTATGTTGGAGTTGAAGCCAGTTATTGCTGAGAGGTAGGTACTTTTGCAAACAAAAAAAGAGAGGGCGTGTCAAGAGAGAAGGCAGAATTTAAGTTTGCTGCATCCGTGAAGGCGATACCGGAAATGTCTGACGCCAAGTGGACCAATCGCAGCGCTAACAGATTGTGGTTTTTGAAAAGGCAGGTACATTTTTGAGGTGATGCACATCAGGCTATGTATGTAGGTTTCTGTAGATGCAGAGCTACACAGACCAATGACAGAGGAGTATAAAAGGGGCTTATGTCATGTTTTTACACAGTTAAAGTATTGTCAAACGAATCTCCAATTGTGATTTTTTGCTTTGAAAAATGTAAAAACACTCTTTCAGTAGCTTAAAGTTACATACTTTGTGACTCATCCATCACAAGAGCTTTAACTTCAGAAAAAAAAGGATCAAGCTAGTGAGAACTTTTAAAGCAATGGGAGTCTATGAGGGAGGGTAGAAAATTAGGAGAAAGAAAGGTACATGACAGGTGCACAACTTAGTGAAAGACAACCAGCTAATGAAAGAAAGTTGAACAATAGTAGACTCATATAGCAACAAGACTTCGATAAGAAGACTTCAACAACCTGAGAACTGCACAAAAGCTACCAAAGAAAGTCATTACACGTCGAATATGTCACATTCAGACGCAAAAAAGTCGGTAAATGTCCCTAAAACTGCGTGTTACCGGCACGGTGACTACACAAAATGCTGTATTGAGATGCCGTTATGCGTCACACAACGACCTGTTAAAATTCAAATTGCAGGTATAGGTGCTCGCGCGAGGATACATACCTCCTCTTCGTGGTTGGTGAATTCACTCTGCTCGTTTTCCTTCTCGATTTTGTTGTTATTCATTCTGAGTCGGGCTCTCTTTTCACCTTCGCGTGGACTGTCTTCTTTTTCCTCCTCTTCTTCTTTCGTCTTTCGCTTCTGTGTGGCTCCGTCCTTCTTCTCCAGGACCCCGAATTTTTTAAAAACCCCTCGCGAAAGACAACAGTCCGCGTGCGGCCGCTGTCCTACTGACCCGAGCTTCCCACTAGTTTGGCGACATCAATGATGACTGAACGGGATTTTATTGAAAAAGGAGAAAGAAGTCAGCTGTGAGTGGTACTTTCTGTGCAGGCGGATATTCCTCAGCATTCCCTGGAAAGCTTCTCCGCAGGCTCTTGTTGCTGTTCCCCAAATGAAATACAGTAAATGTTCAGTGGACTGCGCCGCAGGCAAACTTCTCATCTCCGCGTGAGGGAAGGAAGGAGGGAGGGAGGAAGGAGGGAGGGAGTGAGGGAGGGGTTTAGGGTGGGGTAAAAGGGTTGGATGCACCGTCTGCTGCGCTGTAACAAGTTTTATCAAGTGCTGAGAGAGTGGCAGTGGAAAATTGTGCCTATCACCAATCCTCTTCTGGACCAGCTGAATGTTATTTTAGTCACTGCAACATTCCTGTAATATTAATGCAGTGTGGTATCCATCTATTGTGGTAACATAATGTCTCCGCCAGTGTTAGTATTTGTCTGTTTCTTTATTTATTCTATAATAAAATCCGGGACATCTACTTGGCTGTCATTTGAAATTTTCATTTTTAATTTATTTACATATATCTGAGTGCTTTCTCCAACCACATCTACACTTTTAATCATAGACCATTTAAAAAAGGTTTAGCATAAAAGTTTTTGTTGTTGTTGTTGTTTTAAGTCCAGTCATGGAAGTATCCCAAACCTGCATTCTTTCTGATGACCAGAAGGAGGCTTTTATATGTGACTTCCATAGACTGCTTTGCTGGAGGAGGCAGGATTTATGACCTATACTGCAGCCAGTCAACAGAGGGTGCTGTTCTCAGAGTGGCTCCATCCAGCGAGGAGGCAGACGCTGTCCATTCTATATACAGTCTATGGGACTAATAAAGGCACATTAGCATAACAAAGTTGATTTAAACTGGAATTCGATATTTCTGAGGATCTTTATATTAGTTTATAAATACTGACACAGATAATGTGATTTTGGCTAAAAGCTGCATAATCACTATTTAAAGACAACTGAGAACTTTTCAATCGTTTAAAAAAATTTTCAGAGTGGGACTGTAAAGATTAAAATTTTTTAATCCAACGCTTTCTTTTGACAGTTTACAGCTGTGCAACAGGTGTGTATTCTATGTCAAATATTGCTTTTGTAGCATTTAGGGTTGCAAAAATCTGGGAATTTTCAAAGTTAGGAACTTTCTATGGAAATTAATGGGAATAAATCTGAAATTTACAAAATTGAAGGTTGGCCCTCAACAGGGAACTTCAATATAGTTGGGGAAAATATATTGTAGCATAATCTTGACTACTCTCCTACACTCCTAAATGACTATACACTGCTATACATACTGAGAAACATACACAAATACATTACTTGACAATATAAGGTCAAGTAAGTTTTGATTATATAATGGGTAAATATATTTGGTCTATAATAGTATTAATATCTAACTTGCAAAATTAAAGAAAAATAGGTGCTAAATGTAAGCTATTTTTCATTTCATTGACCATTTAAGGGGCTAGCTTATTATGGTGGTGGTAGCTACCTCTTCTGACTCCTGCAAGACGGTTTTTCTAACCATACAATAATTTATACATCAATTGTCAAATATCTTGAAGACCATTCCAGTTGTTTAGCCAACTGTGGCCAACTTCTGTTCATGCCATTGCATTACGATTTTAAATTTATGTTTGGATATGATAAATTACCCCCGATTTCCAGTTAATTCCCATAAATCCCCAATAATTTCCATAATTCCCATAGAAAGTTTCCAATTTGGACTATTCCCAAAATTCCCCAGCTTAACTTCTCATGGAAAGTTTCTGGAAAATAACTGGAAATTTTCTGCCCCTTTGCAACCCTAGTAGCATTCAATACAGTTTGTATTTACCAGTGATGGGACTATAAATGTAACCAGTGGCTTAACCACCTGATGACATGCATCTCTTCACTTTAATTGTGTCATAAATCGTGAATCAATACACTTGTTTTTGTGAATAATTTTGAATAAATGTGAGGGTAAAATGACAAAGTCTTAAAATCTTCTGAAGAAATCTGTTCAGGAACAAAAACTCACATGACGCATGACTCACATGGAAGAAGTCTTTGTTATCTGTGTGAGACTGGTTGTTGCATTGTTCGTGTTTACGCACCACTTACATGGAAAACCCCTCATGTTGCTTTCTTTTGTTAAGTTCTTAAGTTTTGCTTACCTTTGTAGTGAAGAGCCACTCATTTCCCTATACCTTACCCACTGTTAACCTTTAACCAAGCTGTGTTACATACCGTCAGTTTCCGTCGTAAACCTGGCATCACAAGACCTCTTGTTAGTCTGCACACTCAGGAGTATTTTCTTTCTTTCCTCATTTCGAGCCATGAAATGTAACACTCAGCATAATCCATCATCTGTTAAGATGCACAGAGCAGAAGCCACAGATAATTATCAACCTGACTGTTTAATAAATATCACATGGCTCATGGTTTATCATTTCAAGGCCTCTGTGAGTAGTTTTGTGGTTTCAGGCAAATTCTTCTCCTCAGACATCACCTTGTTCAGCCTTTTTCCGTCTTTGTTTACAGTGACAGTGGCGGGTTGTTCATGTAAAGAGGTAGTGAAGACAACACCTGTATATTACTCAAGATTTTAATATGATAACAAGTTGTGCTAATCCGCTGTGAGCTCACTCAGGACTTTGATTTATGACCTCTGAGTGGAGAAAGAGCCAGACCCTGCAGCGATGGAAGTGATGTCTCAACAACAGAGAAGATGAACAAACACTGACGAAGTCTGCAGGCACACCTATTATTGTCTACAGTGCAGGGTGCAAAACAGCCTTAAAAGCAGCGATCAGGTGACAAGGCAGCCTTGAATGCTCCCCTGTTTCAAAACATTTATTTTGAGCAACTGCCTCACTTTGTGTTTCGTGATGAAAGTTCAAAAGCTGACAGTAGCTCGCTGGTGGAGACTTTGACTATATGTTCGCATGACATTTATTGCGCAGGACAAGAGCTCGCTTTTTATGACAGGTGGTGCAGAATGCAGAGCGTCGTTTATGCTGAACTTGCACCTTAAAAGCAGCTAAAGAAGGGAAAACAGTCATCGCCGATCGGTCTTGGAGCTATCTGCTCTTTCCCCCCTTCCAGATTGTGTCTATATCAATTACTGTGCATCTGAAGCATACACAATGAAGAAGGGGAATGGCAGATTCTTTTTATGCTGATGAGAGGCAGCTCGGGATAAGGGGAGGAGGGTCTCGCAGTCTTCCAAGCAGATAAAAATGGAAATGTTCCCCATGCTGCTCAACACCCCTGTATCAAAGCTTCCTGCTCTGAGTCTGGGGAGCAAAAGAGAGGGGAGGAGGGGAAAGAAGAAGGAGGAGGAAGGGGAGTTGAGGGGGGAGATGTCCCAGCTGTGTTTGACAGGTCTCAGGGCTGAGCTGTGTGGTCTGATGCTCAAAGAGGGAGGCTGCTGCCCCCCCTCCACCCCACCACCCCTCACCTCTCCACAAACACACACACAAAGAGGGAGGGGGGAACAGCGAGGAGACGGTTTGGTCACGGTGTCCTGGGTAACATGTCAGCAAGCTTTGACGTGGTCCAGCCTCACATGAAGATATCTTTGTGTTTCTTGTGAGCTCAAGAAAAGGCAACAATGTTTGCTTAATCAAGCAGATTAAGTTAACGGAAATACAAAAGAGAGCAAGTACGGTTCTGAAAGTCTCATTACTTACAAAAGAGAGTTTGTATGTGAAATTTTCAAAACAAGAAATTGTTGCTGGCACTTTTGGGAATACGTGTTTCTGTTTATTGCTAATACAGCAGGTCTGTAAGTGGAGGTTAAGACCAGTCTTAGGCCTGTCAAAGGGGTCAGCTTAGTGAGCTTAGGCCTTAACATTTCAGGGGAAAAACTGCGTATCGGCACCTTTAAGCCTAACTAAACCCTTTCATTATCATTGTCAGTCAGAGGTTCATACCATGATATGACCTCACTAGGTAGTCTAATATGATCTATTTGACATTGAGACAACTATTTTAAGAAATTGCAATAATGTTGGTTGAGGAACTTTGCTGTATGTTGACCAAAAAAAGGAATTTGTTTCATGGATCATTACTTTATTATTTCCTTGAAGTAATAATCACCATATTAATCATTTCACACTGAGGACGCCATAGTTCTTCTGCCTTAGTGTCTCAGTCTGATTGCATGTCGATGAAGAAATGATCATAAATGTTTTTCCTTGAGCTGCGTCACCCCACCTCAGTCGATGATGAACTGGTCGAGGTCTCGCTACAAACAAGCGCCTGCTGGAAGAGAGACGGTGAGTTGTGTTTAGTCTCTTTGCTAAAGAAATCATGCAAAGCTAAAAAGATGTTTGGTGGCTAGTGCTATGACTGGGACCCTATATGTACTGTTGTTGAAATTAGGTGCTATTCTGAGCATTATTTGTGGCTATAGGTTGAGGTTTGTGTGTGGCTCCTCAGACAGCTGTGTATTGCTATCGTGCGGCTGTTACTCAAGTTGGTATAACTAGAGAAGCAATCGGTCGGTAACATTCATCTCTCGAGGGGGTGTCTAATTCGGTGTTACGGTGTGTTTGACCCTTAATTAATTTTACACTAGAATATCCCTTTAAATCGGCATTTCTGCTTCCTTGCCTAAATATCATCAAACTCATGTCTGTCTTGCTCATCATGAAGGTAAGCATATTATCTCCTTCTGTCTAGATCTTGCCTTTGTGTTTCTTCTTGACAATGCTCAAAGGCAGTATCAATGTAACACATATGACAACAATGGCAATATACTGTGAAAGTTGAACTTGTGGGTGTAGTCACTCTTAGTTTCACTCTTTTCATCGAACTTCAAAGATAAGCAAACTTCACGGCGATCTTTTGTAACCCAGGTAACTAACATTATGACTACATCAGAAGAACCTGGCTGCTACAAAGACAGGACTGAATACTGAGACATAAATCAGATTATCCGATATCATCTTCTGGATCACTGACTCATAGCTAAAAGGCCAGCTTGATATGAGCGCAGAAACGAGAATCTATCATGACACAATGCCGATGTATCGACCAGCGGTGTTTTCCCAAGAGAGGACCCCCGCAGTCCTCGCAGTTTGCTCGTTCGATGGTCAAATGACTTGAAGATGATGTGTTGTCTGGTTTCACCTTCTTTTCACTCTTTCTTTCAATTCCTTCAAGTCAATATCAAAGTGAACTCACTGCTTGCTATGGTTACTGACTTCCTCCAAAACATCTGAAAGCAAAAAAGAGAAAGAGAACAATGTTGCAATCCGTGTCGAGGTCATCTGTAAAAACAAGCAGGCCCTCT